GAGCCCTGTTCTGAGTCGATAAAATCATTCAATATTTACATCCACTGAACTTTCATCTTTTTTTCTTAAAAAAAAAACATTGCCGTTTATCAGTCAATAAACACCGCTAAGCATATCACCTCTACAGATTTGTTGAGCAATGGCTGCTGTTTCATCAATGAAACATACAGTGACGTACATATCAAAAATACACTATTCCATCTACTAAATCCTACTTAAATTGATTATTTGCACAGATATAAACAATAAAATGTTATTGTTGTTATTTTTAGTACGTGAATTAACGGTTGCAGCTATTGCAGAAAAAATTAAGGGATGCATTTTTTCTGTAACATCTGCAACATTAATTCCCGTACTAACGACTAAAGAAAGTATTTTATTGTTTAATTGAAGCAGTTTCTGAATATGATAAATGGTGATCAAGACGGTAGTCACAATCTTTCTTGGGGACAGGCATGGGGTAATCGTAATCGATTGTAATGATTACTTTTTTTCAAGTAATCGACAGTAATCGGTAATTGAAGAGATTTTCGATTACTTGTAATCGTAATTTAATCGATTGCAGCAAAAAATTTCAATGTAATTATAATTACTTTTTCGATTACTTTCGATTATTTTATACATAAATGGATGTTATTTTGGAGAATTATTTTTAGTCAGTCACACATAAATATCAAATATAAACCACCTAGTGTAATGTTTTATTATCATAAGTTTAATTATAATGTTCTCAATAAAATTTGCATTATAGACCCTCTGGTCTAGTATTAAATAATTCAGAAGTGTATTTCAACCATTCATTAATAAAATATACAGAATTTTCGTGTGCATTTAACATTTGACCCACTGTCCTCTTGCTGCATGTCCTTTTTCATATTTCAGATGTTGAAAAACTTTGTCTTGTAATAGAAAATCGTAAATAGCAAAAACAGATTTAAGTGCTGTATTAAATATAAATAATTTGGTAAATAAGCTACATTGTACTTGTGAAAAGATGGAAATATTCATATCTGAAAATGTTTAAACAACTTCAACCTTGTGTTTTAGTAACTTTAAAATTTGCAAAATCATTCTCGTTTTCATTCAAAATTGTAAGGTTGCTTTTATATCAGTGAGATGTTATAAGTGTCTGTAAGAGAGGGAGTGTGTCACTGTGTTTGCTTATCTTGGCTAATTAATTGACTGAGACATCCCTGACTTGCAGATAATGAGGTGTAAACCATGAACTACCTAGTGTTTTACTTTTATAATTCATAGTTCCATTGAAGACAAACAATATTATTAAAACAATTAATAGCTCTCAAAACACTTATTTCAATACAGAATGAAATTTTGCCATTAGTTAAATTACTTAAAGACACATTTAATTTACATGTTTATTACTAAGTGTTCTAACTTACTTATTTTTTTAAAGAAGACACAGGAATGTTTTATGTGTATTGTCAACATACGGGCAGCCCAGATACTTCTAATGGAGTAATTCACAATAAAATATTAAATAATTTTTGCAACAAGTCAATAAATATGGAGGTTCAGATCCAAAGTTGAAAGGAATAATTAATTCCTTGGCATATTTTATTGTAGGAATCATGTCTCCACTTTCCATGGTAGAGAATCCCTCATTTGGGCATTTAGTGAGAATGTTAGCCAGAATAAAACCTTAAAAGAATCTGCACTGAAACTACAGAACACATTCAAACTTCAGTGGATATCATACATCAACATTACCATTTCAATATTGCTTTGATATTTAAAGGGATAAAACTTGGAAGTAATCGATTATTAATCGATTACAATTTCCAAAATAATCGATTACAATCGATTACAGGACCAAACTGAGTGTAATCGATATATAATCGATTACACAAAATTCCTCTGAGTAATCGATTATTAATCGATTACATTTTTCAGTAATCGTGCCCATCCCTGCTTGGGGACGAGGCGTAATGCAGAAACGCAATGTTGGAAAAAGTGGTTCTATAAAGTGGCCCGCAACACTCCCAAATGTAACTTCTTTGTGAATCTTTTGCTCTGCAACTGGATATTATCTGCCCCATCTTGTTAGATTTTTTGAAATCCTGAGTGATCTAGGACCAAAATATTGTAATTTGAAGCCACGTTGAAACCATCCTTTCAAAATGATAATCTGGATAATTATATATAATTCAGTGTATACAAAAAAAAATGTTTGTCACATTTGATAGGCGACTTGCCCAGTTCATAGAGCTGCTGGTAGAAGAGTTCGTAGCTTGGTGTTTTCCTTGGCATCTCCTTCAGATGTACTTGAAGATGCATCTGGGGAAGATTTTTTTTACTCTGATTGAAATGATAGAAACACTGAGTAAAAGTAGATGTGCTGATCACACTTGAAAATTGTATGGTAATATTGAAGTGATTTTGACAATTTTTATCTGCTTTTTTTCAAAGGGATGCGCTGATCTACATTATCGAGTCAGCTTACCTCTGGTACAGGAGTAAAATCAGATATATTAAAATCTAAAGAGAAATCTGGTTTTCCAAAAGTACCAATTTTGGCCGACCCAAACACCTCCAACTCCGTGTTGCAGCATCACTCCCGCTCTAAGAGGATTCCTTGGCATGAAAGGGGGGATCAACTTTCACTTCAGCTCGAGGCCTTTGCTGTCCGCGATGTAGTGGTGTGTTCTTTTGAGTCCTCTGCCCCTGGCTGGAGAAACCATCCCCTCTGGCATCTCTCTCCTTGGTGGCATTAAATTAGTATAGATTGTATAGATAACCTGGTTTTATTGTTTCCTCTTGAGCGGGACGTAAAGAGGAAAAGGGAGTTGCTATACAAGTTGACTCCTCCTGATGCTTTCTTAAAACTAGTTATCTGTACCAAGTTGAGTCTAATTATTTAATGCTATTCACTCAGTTAAATGAGAATATCTCATATTTATTTCAATAATCTATAATATTTGCACATATGTGATAACGAAGTTCTGATTTACAAATCTATTTTCCTAGGTTATATAGCCCTTTAACGTTATTAACGCTTAATGATTGAACAAATTTAAACACGGAGAGTTTTTTTTTTCCAATAATATTTTTAATAATTTTTGTCTATAATAATTGTATAGCTGGCAAATAAGAACAAAGTGGTATTCATCTTCAATTTCTGCACGTTTCACAACGTCTATAAATAGATAAGGTGAAGATATTTTTTTTCTTTGGTATATGGAATTGTTTTTTCTAGATCGTACTGCAGAAAAAAATATCAACCAGATGTCTATAAAAATGTCATTCGACTTCGATATTCATGTTACTTAAAAGTGACGGATTGTATACAATAATTCTGATTCTTTGTTTTATTATGGGAAAACACTCATAAGTTTACAAGTTTTTATCATTCAACATACATCCAGTGCTAACATATTCAAACTATCGTTATACTTCGCCCAGTTTTCCTCTTTAAATGTTTGTAGACTTTTTTTTAGATCGATCACTGCACGTTTGTTAGCTTCGTCTTTATCATTTCATACTCGTTATATAAATGAATATACGTATAATGAAATAAACGATTGTTTGTATTCAAAATCTTGAACCAGGATTAGAACATTCTTAATAATCTGACATAAAACAAAGGTATACGACCAGTTTCATAATACAGCATTTACATTTGTGATTTTCGTATCCTAAGAACATGCCTTAAAAATCTAGATGCGCTTTTTCCATATATGACTTTTATGCATACCCCAAATTTCACAGCCATAGTTTACAAACATTTTTCTTAAATGATCCTACCAACATATTTCCTAAATGATCCTACAAACATATTTCTTAAATGATCAGGAAGTTTGATACTTTCTGGTTGGTACAGGCTTCCTTTCCTGAGGTGCACCTCAGAGTCAGTTCACCTTAAAATGAAGTTCCGGGAAGTTTATTCTTGACGAACCATAGATTTGCTTACATTTTTTCGACCAATCAAATTGCATGTTTAAAGTATGTGTCGTTTTGAATGTAAACTTGGCAGACGCCATTACCGAAGATACAAAACTGCTTTATAAGTAAATGATTGAGTATCTATTGTTTTATAATATTGTTTACCACTTTTAAACAGTTGTTAAACTGTTAAAATATAAATATAATGTGTTGTTCAACTAAACATTATTTTATGAGTCTTTATATTTGTTTGAGACAAGAACTGAAGTGTCAAAAAATGTTGTAAAATTCCTAATTATTTGATAAAATGGTCATTACTTTTGAATTCGGTCTACTCGTGTCTATACGGACCTGATCAGGTATTGGTTAGCCTCGGCCTTCGACCTCGGTCAACCAATACTTGCCATGGGTAGACCTCATCAAAAGTCAGTAATTGTATAGTGTCAAAACCGCAAAAGATGCATAGAATAGAAAACAATTTAAAGTGTTCTTTAAAATTAAACAAAAACAATGCAACAGTTGCAGTCTAAGTAGTGAACTGAAGATATAACATGTTAATATATTGATATCAACTGAGTGATGTGCAAATGCAAAAGTAAAATGATGATTAAAAATGCTCTGGAATTTGAAGAAAACAGGAAAACTTAAATGTCAAGCGATACAAGATAATCTAAAGCTAAGATTTTTTTGATCATGAAATTAAATCGCCTCGATCAAGAAATAGACAGGTTTAAAAGAAAGCTTTTCAGACGGACTATAAATTTCGACTAAAGTATTATAAATAGTTTCGTTTCTATGCACAGTCATAAATGATCTCTTTCATTACAATTGATCGATCACGACGTACCATTAATCAGATACGTTTAAACCTTATCTAAGAGATTTGCATCAAAAAAAGACAGGACACGAAGAAGAGACAGGAAGGTATGTTCTACTTCCATGAAGTTTGCTTTTATGTCTAATTCTTATTTTTTTAAAAATAATTCATTACGATATTTAATTTATTGATAAAATAATATAAACAGCCTTTAAAAGTAACAATCTTAAAATAAAGATATCTTTTTCTTAGCAATAATATGGTTTTTCAGTATGATTACAAGTGCATGTAAGTATTGCATCATAGCAATCCTATTTTCCTCAAAGATATCAAAAGTTCTTCCATATTCCACTTATACAACTGAAAATTCAATGCCGTCTTTATCACCAACACAAAGCAATATTATCACCAAGCAGGAAACGAATACTTCAAACACAACCATTTCAACTATAACAACTGAAAACTATACTGAAACGTCCAATAGAACTGGTGATACGACGCCGACAAACAACTCGTCTTTGCACACTACATCTTCTTCGAATCTTACTATAGCAACCACCTTCAATGCCGTTGCCACCAGTTCTGATGAGGATAATTCAGGCAATGTCTCAACTACCTTTTTAGCCACATTGACTACAGAGGGGGAAACAATGACCAATTTATTTACATCGCCACCGGTAGTATCGTCATCATATGAAACAACTGAGGATACATCGTCTCCGACAAACAATAAAACAACGATTCTTACAGAAGGTTCGTCGATTATGAGTTCGTCGTCGGCATTGATATCCACAATAATGACCAGCAGCCGAACAGCCCTTCTTTCTGAAAATACGCCTGAAACACACTCTTCAAATACCGTTGTTAGCTCTCATCAGACAACTAATGAATATGAGAGCACCGAAATTTCAGACACGTCGAGGGCCACCGTACCAACAGTTACAAACTCTGTAGAGAAAAATAATACTACGCCTGAGTCCACAGGAGGTTCGGAACCACACTCGTTCTCTTCAACATATTCCATAACTACTATTACTGCAACTCAAACATCCTCTTCCGCTCCTCAGACAATGACATCAATTGAAAATAATGGAACGAGCGTCTCAAAGAAGATCAGCACCATAGTACATAGCAGTATGCAAGAGTTAGTAAGAACAACAGAAATGGACACGACCGAGACTGACATCACCGGAATATCAACACACACGCTTTCATCTTCAACCCATTCCGTACTAAGTACCACTCCATTGCATACAACTACTCGTCCGCTATCTTTTACTCCAAATATTGGTGAGAATGTTCTGTACATAGTATTCTTTGCTCACAGAATATTATTTCTTTTAATCAGATGGAATTATAATCGTGAATGCTTTATCACTTACGTTAAATATGGCCATTAACCAGACTTTTCAGATACATTTACTTATCATTATATCTATGTGTAATATATACTGAACAAATACGTTCAGTATCATTTCCACTTAGAAGACTCCTATTATCACTAAGCCCGTGTGAAATTGGTAGATAATTTAAAGGAGATTTAGTTGTTTTCATCGGAACATTTTTCAAATAGAAATCAACTTTTTCTTAATTTTTAGCTCTACTGGTCAGATACCAGAGGAGCTTATGCGACGGTAAGGTTCTAGTCGTTCGTACATCTAGCTGTCTGTCTGTAAGCAATTTTTTTCAAAACGCTATGCCTCCTACAGTTTTAATCCAATTTCAACATTACTTGGTACACAAGTAGACTACATAAAGATACATAACACTGGATAAAGAGCAAGGTTCACTTTATGCATAAAATGGCCCTGTTGGCATACCAATTTATGAAATAACACTCTATTTTCCATTTCAAACATCAAGATATAGTAGAAACTTAGTGCTTTCATTTCCTATTAAAAATTTTCTTCTGAAAATTCAGGTATTGGAAAACAGGCTTCATGAAATTGCAATGTTCTTGGATTTTAAAGAAAACAGGTATATTTGAGTGCTTTGAGAGAAGAAAAATAATATGAGCGCACTTCTTGATCCAAAAAATAAAACACGTTTTGTTATCCTCAGAAAAAAGGTTTATCATTTGATAGTTACATATTTTAGATCAGAGGTTGCGCTCTATATGAAATATCGAAAAGTTGCTTTAAAAACTGGCCGTTTCGTTGAAGTTTCCAGGATATGAGGAAAATGACGCAATTCATGACGTCATAATGAATTGTCTAGCCAGAGAATTACATCATTTTTGATAGATTCGCAATCAACAAGAGTCTAAATGATATGTAAAGCATTGTCAACTAAAACAGAGCAGTTTCACTTTTTCAGAAATTCACAGGGCCTAAAAAGGCCCTAAGTGAACCTTGTTCTTTATTTTGTTTTGATTTCTATGAACGGTGTTGCTATGGTTACTAAAAATAGAAAATTCTGCCAAATTCTTTCAAAATTCTACTTCTCCTACAATTTTGAGTCCGATTTCAATATCACTTGGTACACAAGTAGACTTAACTAAGACACATTATTCTCTGTATCAGTTTAAGATTTCGTTGACCGGTGTTGCCATGGTTACTAAAAACAGAGAATTTGTGTGAAATTCTTTCAAAACGCCACTCCTCCTATAGTTTTTGTCCCATTTCAATATAACTTGAAACACAAGTAGACTAGGCTGAGATACAGGTCTTAGATTTTCTTGAAGAATGTTGCCATGGTTACTAAAAATAGAAAATTATGTGAAGTTCATTTAAAATGCTACTCTTCCTTCACTTCTAGTCCGATTTCAATATAAATTGGTACAAAAGTAGACTACGCTAAGATACATTATTCTTTCGTCGGTGTTTGATTTTATTGAAGGGTGTTGCCATGGTTACTAAAAATAGAAAAATCTGTGAAATTCTTTTAAAACACTACTACAGTTTCAGTCCGATTTCAATATTCCTTGGCACATAAGTAGAGTACATTAAGATATATAATACTATTTATTAGTTTTTGATGAATGGTGTTGCCATGGTTTCTTAAAATAGAAAATTCTTGTGAAATTCTTTGAAAACGCTACTCCTCTTTCAGTTAAAGTCCGATTTCAGTATATCTTGGCACACAAATAGACTACACTAGGCTGCATGATTCTGAATATCGATTTTTGATTTTTATGAAGGTGTTGCCATGGTTACTAAAATTATAAGTTTTTGTAAAGTTCATTCAGTTTTAACTCTTCCTGCAGTTCTAGTCCGATTTCAGTAAAACTTTGTACACATGTAGACTACACGTAGATACATAATTCTCTTTTTTTGATTTCGATGAATGGTGTTGCCATGGTTACTAAAAATAAAAACTTCTCTGAAATTCTTTCAAAATGCAACTTCTCGTACAGTTTTAATTTGATTACAATATACATGTAACTTGATAGACAAGAAGACTACACTAAGATACATAAATATATTTATCTGTTTTTGATTTCAATGAGTGATGTTGCAATGGGTGCTTAAATAGAAAATTGTCGCCGACGTGGTGCAGTGGGTTCGAATCCCACTGTGGGACGTGAAGATCGTTCATTCGAATTAGACCGTATAAACCGAGGTCCCCTGTCGCAGTAGGTGCTGGCACGAAAAAGATCCCTCACTGCTCAATGGCTCTCAGTGCCGAGTATAGGTCAAAATTTGCAGCTCTCCATCGGCAAGTGATGGCGTCTCCATATGAGTGAAAAATTCTTGAGAGGGAGTTAAACAACAAACCAAGAAACAAAAATAGAATAGAAAATTCTTTGAAATTTTTTCAAAAGACTACTCCTCCTACGGTTTCAGTCCGATTTCATTTTAACTTGGTACACAAGTCGACTACACTAACATAAATGATTCTGTATATCAGTTTCTGATTTCGGTGTACGGTGTTGCCATGGTTACTAAAAAGGAAAATTTGCAAAATTCTTCCAAAATTTTATTCCCACTAAAGTTTTTGTCTATTTGCAATTAAACCTGACTCTGAAAGAGACTTAACCAAGGATCATTATTTTATTTATTGCTGTTCCATAGTTTCAAGTCCAAGGCTACTTTTTTCTACTTGTGTTAAGTAAAAACCAGTAGATCCACATTCTCGTCAGAAACTTCTTGTTGAGATTTTAAAGCAATCATATTACATCAATTGACTTAATATATATTTTTTCTTTTATTTGAATAATAGCCCAACAAATTCACTGATTTCATTTATTTATTTGGGAAGGTTAATGTAAGTTTTCGAATTATTTTTTTATAAGTACACTGTATGTCTACCAATTTAGTTGACAAAAACAATTAAAGTAAGTGGATTCAGTGTCAAATTTCATTCCTGTTGAAATAAATAAATGTGTACAGTTTATAAATATCAAAGATGCATCATACTTAAACACATTTAATACTTAAGTTTTAATATACCTCAATATAATTATTCTATGAATCGAATTATCTGATTGGTTCTAGACAGTCAAATGATAGGCCATAAAACTTATTTCCTTGTCGTCGTCATGTACCCACTACCTCTTCGGAGACCTCTTCCATTTATCCACAATACTTATCGTTCGTTGAACTAAAACTTTCGAGAGCAACAGACGTCACAAAATTCAAAATAGTACAAAGTTGTCATCTACCAAGTAGTGACAAAATTAGCAATCTTTTTTTCCAAAAATAATGTATTTTAAAATCAAAGATATCGGAGCTAATTGTTTGCGAAGTGACCATGTATTACATTTACCAGTAAAGTGTTGACTATTCGTTAAACTGAAAGTGAAATTGAGAGCGGTTCCGAATTTGAAAATTTGTTTTCGTATATCTCAATTTCTGCTTCTAAAAATTGCTACAGAACAATGATTTTAGCTAAACAAAGGCATATAGAAATTTTTGAAGTAATTGGAATTAATAATTATTGAGTTTTAAAATTTTTTAAAGTTTTAAAATATATCAAATAAATATCGTAAAATGATGATTTTTCAAACAAACGACAATCTTATTAAATTTTGAAAGCTTCCAATATAATAAAGAGAACTGAGCCAAAAAAAAAATCATATTCCCCTCGTGCGAAGCCCACTAAAAGAATGATTTTTCCTGACAGAATAAATCTTCATACTTTCAAAAAATTCAAGTAAAAATACATATTTTTGTCAATTGTACAACATAGCAAATGGTGTGGGGTTTATTATTATTCCAAGGTTATAGTTACAAATAAGACAATATAAAACATAAAGGATATTCGTTTTTATGTTTGATTCTAAAACCTATTGCAAGTCAAACGTTGCAACACTCGATCTTTTCCATTTGCATTGTAAAATTTTCCATTTGTATTGTATAATTTTTATTTGTATTCTATAATTGTCCATTTGTATTGTATTGTTTTTCATTTGTATTTTATAATTTTTATTTGTATTCTATAATTCTCTATAATTTTCTATTTGTATTTTACAATGTATAATTTTCCATTTGAATCGTATAATTCATCGTTTGCATCTTATATTTTCTATTTGCATTGTATAATTTCTTATTTATATTGTGAAATTTCTTATTTGTATTCGAAAATTTTTCATTTGTATTGTATCCAAGGATTGTTTACTTATTTCGTTACGATGGATTTCATTGGTCAAGATTTAGTCTGTATCGTGTTGAAAATGAGCGAGATGCCCCGGGTGCTCAAAGCAAACTTAGCCTGGTTCCCTATCTCATCCTTGCCTTGTGTCGCGGAGTATTCGAAGCATAACAGGGACAGGCAACCATGCTAAAAGCAAACAGGGCGCCTGTTTTTTTTTTATTTGCGTGCGTGTTAGAGGACGGCCATTTAGATGAAAAGGGAGCGCTGGCAGATGGCAAATAAATAATCTGTCCTTAGAAATGTTGTCTGAGAAAATAAATAATTTGATCTTAACTGGTTGAACCCCCCCCCCCCCCCCCGAAATGGAGATTTACTTTTTTTCTTCTCCTCCTTATCTCTAGTCATCTTGAACATAAGTATTCTCTCCAGCAAGAGCATGAAAATAAATAATCTGATTTGTCACCCCCCCCCTTAAGAATTAAATGACCGTCCCTTAGCATCCACGCATATAGAAGAACCCAGTTCGCTTGTTTGAACACTATACTACAAAAAAGACTAAATCTTGACCAAAGAAATCTTTTGTTTAAAAAAAAAAAAAAAAAAATAAAAATAAAAACAATCCCTTATCGCATACAAATAAGAAATTATAAAAAACAAATAATAAATTATACAATACAAATGTAAAATATAAAATACAATTAAATGTCATACAATCCAAATGGAAAATTATACAATTCAAAAAAAATTTACAATACAAATGAAAATTGTACAATACAAATGAAAAATTATACAATACAAATGGAAAATTATGCAATACAAATGGAAAAGACAAAATATTGTAACGTTTGACATGCCATTAAAACCATTATCTTACTTGTTAAACCCTCCTGGCTAATACTTGTTTTATTCAGATAATGCTGTGTTCACTATTCATTTCGATATTTCACTGAAAGAGTGTGTAAATGAATCTGCAGCTGATGAAATAGTAAGTAGTTTGTTTTAAATACTGCAATACATTATTCTTTTGGGAAATATGCTGTTCATTTCAAATATCTGAATCATTTAATTTTTTTTCTAAAATCTGTGTATTTTGTAGGAATTACACATCAAGAAAAATTTGACTGAGAATATCATTGAACTTGTCTCTGTTAAATTATTGCGCCTTAAATGCAGGTATGAAATTTTAAAACGAGAATTCAATTACTTTTTTTAAATTAATAACTTGTATAAAATAGTGGTAAAATGAATTATGTAGTATCGCACAAATCATTTACTAATCATTGCATACTTCAACGTACACTACAGCCTCTTTTGTGTGTGTGTGGGGGGGGGGGGGGGTCGTTTAGAGCATCTGTATTGCTTTTTTGTAAGTCAAAACGATGATTTAGCCACCTAAGGAGTACATTATTCACCGAGAATTTAGGGCGAGATGAAGGTGGTTGAATCATCTTATTGACTGAAAAAAAACAGCAAAAATTGTTTCATTTTATGATTCAATGATTAAATGGTACAAACTCTTTAAGCAATTCATGCTTGTTTACATTTGTTGAAGTTCTAGCCAAACGCAATAAGAGAAGCAGGTTAACATAAACAGTACCAGTTGTATTTAATAATTTTGAATTTTTTTTATCAGTTTTAGTTGTTATAAAAATAAGTCAGGCTCTTTTATAGGATCGATTTTGAAATTTCCCTAGGAACCTGTTTTTTTATGACTCTTGAAATTTCCCCAATTTTTAAGGATTTATATGAAATGTAAATAATTTTTTTTTTTTTTTAGTGTAATAAGAAAGATACATTTTAAAAGTGTTCTATCAAAGTAATAAAAGAAACTACATTCGTAAATATATTTGCTATAAACACACGCAGATATACATAATTTCCATTTTGCTGATTCAGCATTTTGCTTTATTTTACCAATAATCAAGTCGTTATTCTTCATTTCACCTTCTTACTACAATTGTTGCATCTATCTCACATAGAAGCAGAGGAAAGCCTCTGCAATTTTTAAATTCCTATCCGTTTCCAAGCAACAAAAATGGATAGTTTGGTATATTAATATAAAGATGTAAATTGTTGGGGGAAAAATCGTATAAATTATTTTCTTTGAGTACCAAAAACAAATTTGAAGAAAATGAAATATACAGTAGTCTTCTGTGTAAACTAGACTATTTTAAAATTTTCTCTGTCCCTGGCAACAGCAAATTTTCCTTAGCAGCTATGCAAAGGAGTTGTATTCAGCACATATTTATTTAATTTAAAAAAAAAACAACAAAAAACCCATATATTTGAGGAAAAGAGCAATTGCCCAGTGAGAATGGCGCCTCCACTTCTTTGTCGAACCTTCCTACGTTATTGAACATTGCAACAAATATCTTTATATCCCACGCAAACGAAGTTAGGGGAAAGGGGGGAATAGAAATCACCTTGACCGTCCGCCTTATGGAAAAACACTGGAAGCTCATACTTAGTACAGAGATTGCATAGGACCCTAGAGTGTGTCTGTTCTTGACACAAGGTCATGCCGTCAGGTTCAAGGTTACAGTCAAAATTTTTTGTCCATTCCATAACTTTGTAATGGAGAATCAGTGGAAGGTCATACTTGGTGCAGGGATTGCTTTAGATCCAAGTGTAATATGACCTTAAACAAAGGTCATTCCGGAAAGTTCAAGGTAACTGGCAAAAATGAATAAAATTCTTGTCTGGGCTATAACTTTGATTTTCTAATGGAGAATCTCTGGACGCTCATACATGGAACAAAAATTGCTGATGATCTAAGGGTGTATCTTGACCCAAGGTCATCTGGCGAGTTCGTGGTCACTGGCAGAAAAAGATAAGATTTTTCTCGGGCTATATTTTTGTAATGAAGAATTATTGTAAATTCATACTTGGTACAGAGATTGCTTTTGACCCGAGAGAATCCGACCTTCACCCAATGTCATTTTGACAAGTTTAAAGGGACACTGTGACGGACAAACGGGAAAATTGACAACAGTAGAATTTTTGCATGACACATGCAAATTTTGTTCAGTTCCTGAAGATACAAGGTTTCAGAAAATTACAGGTTTCAGAACCTAAAACATCTAATTTAATGGAGAAAAATAAAAGTAAAAAATCTTTGTATAACCCATCACAAAAAAATTCCTTTAGTTCTTCCTCTTTATTGTACGCATGCGCTGAAAAGTTAAAGAATTAACCATGGTTTCAATTCCATAGATATAAATGTCGGATGATCGAGAATTTTGATACAATCTTCAAAAAAGATGATCATAACTTATTCCTTACTTCTGCTTGCCCCAATTCAATGGCAGAATGATAAAACGTACGCTCAACTAGGACCTTAGGTCACCGGCTCAGTTCACAACTATCAAACCTGTTTACTCCGCGACAAAATGTAGTGCATTGAAACCGTAAAGTGAAAATAGAATAAATCGCACTACTGTGAAGCCTTTACAGTGTAAAACAACAATCAGAAAATCTATTTTTGTCAAAGGAATAATCATCTGATATGAGGAAAGATACAGGGGGAGCAACATTGACTCTAATATATTATAAAATATAAGTTATACAGCAATGGATTACGTAGGGTGACCTGCGGTCTCCCTAATGATATTATTATTCCATGTAAGGCAACGATATCTATTTAACACAGTATCTTACCTCTGATCTCCTTATTGATATATCAGGGTAGGCGACCTCCTGTCTCTGCATTCGCAGATCTAACAGGCAGGAGGAAGAGGTACATTGTAGGTCTTGCCCACCACCCCGCTCGGACTCTTCACTGATCCTTAAAGATAATGGAATAATTATTTGGTAATAAATTATATTAGGTGTCCTTTGGTCTCCCTTTTGAGGTCATACCTCAATAGGCGACCTTATCAGTTTAACACTCTAGTAAACCTCTGGTTAATATTAATCTTACAGAGTAGATGTATGCCCAGTCTTGCAAGGATGGAGGCTGAAGTTCTCCTCCCCTTTCCCTGGAATTTACACTTATCAAATTCATAAACGAATCAAAACTACTAGTATATTTTCCAAAATAATAAACTTAAAAAAACATGGACCCATTGTCAATTGCTTGTGGGATACATATACTGTATATGAAGGAAAAGTTGTCTAATATCATCCCCCATCCAATTACATAAATTTAGAGAATTAATTTGAAGAAATTGTGAAATTGTTTGCTTGTAAAAAAAATCAGGGTCTCAATTTTTGTTTGGAGTGAATTTGAAAAATAATTCTTCACATGCCACATTTTTTAAATTGTCTTCTTATTACCATGATAACTTCAAGTGACCTCATGTTTTCCTAATAATAAACAATATAAGATTACCTCTGGTCTACTGATTCATATACCACTTCGTCTAACCTTTGATATCCTTATTGATGTACAATATAAGACAAACTCATGTTTCCATATTCTTTATGTGGGGAGCAGAGGTAACATAAAGTTTATATGAATAGGGAGACCATAGGTCCCCTTATATTGTACATCATTAGGAGGACCAAAGATCACATTGTATTGTACATCAAAAGAAAGACAAGAGGTCCCCTTATATCCTACATCTATAGGGAGACCAGAGGTCCCCCTATATCCTACATCTATAGGGAGACCAGAGAACACCTTATATTGTACATAATTAGGGGGACCAGAGGTCACCTTATATCCAATATTAATAGGGAAACCAGAGGTCCCCTCATATCCTACATCTTTAGGGAGACCAGAGGACACCTTGTATTGTACATCAATAGGAAAACCAGGGATCATTTGTACATCAACAGGGAGACCAAAGGTCCCCTTATACCCTACATCAGTAGGGAGACCAGAGGACACTTTATATATTACATCAATAGGGAGACCAGAGGTCCCCTATATCCTACATCAACAGGGAGACCAGAGGTCCCCTTATATCCTACATCCATAGGGAGACCAGAACACACGTTATGTTGTACATCAAAAGGGGGAAACGGGGATTTATTATATTGTACATCAATAGGGAGACCAAAGATCCCCTTATATCCTACATCAGTAGGGAGACCAAAGGATACCTTATATTTAACATCAATAGGGAGACCAGAGGTCACCTTATATTGTACATTAGTAGGGAGACCAGAAGTCACATTATACTGCACATGAATACGGAGACCTCGGGTCCCCTTATTTAATTAATCATTGGGGTGACCATATTTCATATAAAAGTGTTTATAAATACGGAGACCAGATCGCATCTTATGTTGTACATTATTCAGAGACCAGAGGACACATAAAGTTGTGTATGAATATGAAGACCAGAGAACATTTTATATTGTTCATCATTTGCAGACCACTGATCACATAAGGCTGTGTATAATATGAATATGGAGACCAGAGGTCTCCATATGGTGTACTTCATTAGGGTGACCAGAGGTCCCCCTATATTGTACATCCTTGGGAGACAGAAGTCACCTTATATTTTACATTAATAGGGAAATCAAAGGTCACCTAATATTGTACATCAATAGGGAGACCCGGGGTCACCTTATATTGTACATCAGTAGGGAGACTAGAGGTCACCTTATATTGTACATAAATACGGAGACCAGAGGACACCTTATAGTGTACATCATAAGGGATTTCAAAGGTCACTTAAAATTGTACATCAATAGGGAAACCAGAGGTCACCAATTTTATACATCAATAGGGAGACCAGGGGTCACCTAATATTGTACATCAATAGGGAGACCAGAGGTCACCTTATGTTGTATATCAGTAGGCTTATGTTGTACTTCATTGTGGAGACCAAAGGTTACCTTATGTTGATCATTAGAGAGACCAGAGGTCACATAGAGCTTATACAAATGCCAAGACCAGAGGTCCTCTTATATAAAACATAATTAGGGAGACAATGCAGAGGTCATGTAAAGTTGTGAATGAATACGGAGACCAGAGGTCTCCATATATTGTACATTACAGTGTTATAGGGAGACCAGATATCACAAAAAGTTTATATGGATGCAGAGATCAGGCTTCTACGATACTAGACTCTGTTTAAGTAAAAGACAACTCAAAAACAAAATAAAGGCAATAATTATGGAAATAAGCTTCTGAACATTTAATCATGTGAAGAAAAAATTACTTCTTTCACTCCATAATTTCTCATATCTTACATAAACAAAGATTGCAACAGTTCTTTTAGATCAGTACACAAATAAAGATTATGAAATATGTGGAGATAACGAACAGTATTCGAGCTCAAAAGTCCATTAAACATTACAAAATAGGAGCGGAGCAAACACGGACCTCCTAAATATCAGAGGTGGGATCAGGTGCCATGGAGGAGTGAGCATCACATGCCGACCTGTCACACCCGCCGTGTGCTCCTTATAATGTTCGGGAAAAAACGGAAAAATCCGTGGACAACTCAGTGCGAATATTGGGCTAACAATGAGTTTGAAAAAAGTCAGTCAGCATTTGACTTAATTGCCAACAAGGTCATTGTATCGACCATAGAACTTACGAAATGATAACTTTAAACGAGACTACTGATATTCTTGCTTCATCAACTGTTTGTCAATAACTTACCTCGTTTTAAAAATTGTTCATACGTAGAACATGCTCTTCCGTATTTCATCAACTGAGAGATATCATTATGGAGATCAACTTATAAAGTACATTAATAGTACAATAGGTACATTAATAGGGAAACAAGATGTTCAATATAAAGTAATCTCTGGTCTCCCTATTCATGTACAATATACAATATTAGGTGATCTCTGGTCTCCAAAATTATGTACAAAATAAGGTGTCCACTGGTCTCCCTATTGATGTACAATATGAGTTGACCTCTGGTCTCCCTAATTATATACAATATACAGTGTCCTCTGGTCTCCCTATTGATGTACAATATAAGATGACCTCTGGTCCCCCTAATTATGTACAATATAAGGTGACCTCTGGTCTCCCTATTGATGTACAAAATAAGTTACCTCTGGTCTCCCTAATTATGTACAATATACAGTGTCCTCCGGTCTCCCTATTAATGTACAATATAAGGTGTCCTCTGGTCTCCGTATTTATGTACAATATAAGGTGACCTCTAGTCTCCCTATTGATGTACAAAATAAGTGACCTCTTGTCTCCCTATTGATGTACAATATAAGGTGAACTCTAGTCTCCCTATTGATGTATATAATAAGGTGACCTCTTGTCTCCCTCTTGATGTACAATATACAATATAAGGTGACCTTTTGTCTCTCTATTGATGTACAATATAAGGTGACCTCTGGTCTCTCTTATCATGTACAATATACGGTGACCTCTGGTCTTCCAATTGATGAACAATATAAGGTAACCTTTGGTCTCCCTATTAATTACAATATGAGGTGTCCTATGGTCTCTTTATTGATGTACAAAATAAGTGACCTCTGGTCACCCTATTGATATACAATAAATGGTGATCTCTGGTCTCCCTAATAATGTAAACTATAAGTTGAATACTGGTCTCCCTATTGATGTATAATATAAAGAGTCCTTTGATCTCCGTATTGATGTACATTATAAGGTAACCTCTGGTCACTCTAATTATGTACAATATAAGTTGTCTTATTGTTTCCGTAATGATGTACAATATAAGATGGCCTCTGGTCTCCGTTTTGATGTGCAATAGAAGGTGACCTCTGGTCTCCCTAATTATGTATAATATAAGGTTACCACTGGTCCCCCTATTGATGTACTATAAAAGGTGACCTCTGGTCTCTCTATTGATGTATAATATAAGGTGGCCTCTGGTCTCCGTTTTGATGTGCAATAGAAGGTGACCTCTGGTCTCCCTATTGATGTACAATAGAAGGTGACCTCTGGTCTCCCTATTGATGTACAATATAAGGTGACCTCTAGACTCCGTTTTAATATGAAACATTAGTTTACCACTAGTCTCCACATTGGTGGTATCTGGTGACTGTTTTGCACACTCTTGTCTCCATATTGATATACAATACCTGATGACCTCCGGTCTCCGCATTGATATGACACATTATTTTATCATTCCATATGCAAGATATTGCTCAAAGCAGGCTTGTGACAATAAATTTGATGTGACAAGGGATGATCCCTCCCATGCATCTGATCCTATCTCAGGAATTTAGGAATCTGTGTTTTATACTCTGTTTTCAAATTCCTTTGTTAATAGGATTTTTGAGATCAATCTCTGTTTGGTATCTCAACCTTTTTATTTGAATTTGTAGTTGAAAATCAGTTAATTTGAAAACAAATTCAGGATATTAAAACTAAATTTGGACTTAATTTTATTCTCATTTAAAGTTCTTAAAGTCTGTGGATTTTCCTTTTTCCTTTTTCTATAGGAACAGATGTAAGATAGGATAAATTATAGAGTGAAAGAAATATTTTCATTCTTTTTTCCTTTATTTTTTTTTTCGTTGTCTTTTAGTTAAGCAGAGTTAAGTATCGTAGATGACTGATGATAATACTGAACCATTGACCTAAATTAAACACTTTAGGTCTATGACTGAACGAATGAAGAAAAAGTCTCAATTTCCCTGTGTGTAATTTTTAACACAGTAACAAAGACATTGGTTCTCAAACTGCTGATAATAATACATGTATTGTTTGATAAAGTTAACCAGTGAAACATTTGTGAAAGGGGGAGGGGGGGGGGGGACGTCCGACACCAAGCCTTAATTATGACATCAATTTGTTGTCATGTTTTAATGTTTAAAACCATACCTTCACGTCTCTGTTAATCTATTAGAAAGATCTATATAAAGTTATTAATATAATTGTATTGGAGTAAGACAGAGAAAACTGTTTTTTTAATAAAATTCAATCAAAATATAGGGTGACCTGAGGTCACCATATTGGTACAGATGAATTTACTTTTGTGCCTTTAATGCCTGAAGAGTTCATATAATGTTTTATTACTACGCAAAATGACGAACTATTTGCGGGTGACCCGAGGTCCTAGTTGAGCGTACGTTTTCAATGTTTCCTTTAGTTCTTCCTCTTTATTGTACGCATGCGCTGAAAAGTTAAAGAATTAACCATGGTTTCAATTCCATAGATATAAATGTCGGATGACTGAGAATTCTGATACAATCTTCAAAAACATGATCATACCTTATTCCTTACTTCTGCTCGTAACTTTGACATTGTTGACATTGACGATAAAAACAAAGCGATAGATACAACATTTGTTTTTCCGGCACTTATATTTTGCAGTTTTTTTTCTTGCTTTACAGTGCAGTTGAGTTGTCAAAACTTTGCTATATTCATATTTCACAGAAATCTTTTGTTTTGTGATACAATTTTCTTAAAAGAAACACATGGTTTTGACTCATTATGCAACTTTAACAAATTAATGTATTTATCATTATTTTCCATTTTCAATTTAACAAACATCTTGTGTAAATTTTAAATCAAATTTTAGATCTATAATAATTATAAAATTTCGGATTCATCTTAACATATTTGGAATCAATCAAATCAATTATTCAAAAATTATCTAGAAAAAAGTCACAACAGCTGCTAATACATTGAGGTATCAATCAAATCAATTGAACTAGCAAACAATAATTAATCACTTACTTAGATTTATAATTATTCAAAATCATTCTCATTAATGTTAACTAGAAAAAAAATCACAACTGCAACTATACTGTTCCTTAAATACTACGTAGTTTTTAGCTCACCTGAAACCTTGAAAGCTCAAATTTATGAGCTTTTCTCATCACATTTTGTCTGTCGTCCGTCTATCTGTAAACTTTTTACATTTTTGACTTCTTCCCTAAAACCATTTAACAAAACTTGCCACAAAAGATCCTTGGGTAAAGGGGATTCAAGTTTTTTTTTTTTTTTTTTTTTTTTTTCCAAATGAAGGGCCACATCCTCTTTCAAGGAGAGATAATTAAGAATTAGTGAAAATTTCGTGACATCTTTTTTTAAAAAAAATTGTCCAAAGAACCATTGAGCCAAAAAAATTAATCTTTATGAAACCTTCATTACATAGTGTAGATTCAAGTTGTTTAAATCGTGACCCCGGTGGTAGGATTGGGCTAAAAGGAGGAATCGAAGTAAGAATATAAAGGCAAAACTTTTAAAATCTCAAGAATAGCAATGCAATGATGTCATACTGGTATTGAAGTCCTCAGTAAGTGTAGGTTCAAGTTTGTTTAAATCATGACTCCTGGGGTTGGATGGGGGATCAAATTTTTACAAATAAATATATAGGGTAAAATCTGCTGATGAAGAAGAAAAGGGCCATATTGACTTTGTGAGCGATGAACGTTGTGGCCCATGGGCCTCTTGTTAAATAAATTTAAAGAATACCTCATTGATATAATTTCTAAGGAGGGCATTATCTCTCTTCGCGTACGCCCGCGAAGTATACTCATTCATGATATGTTGCAAAATCATTTTATTCCATACGTATAAATGTGATGAAATATTGAAAGTCTTAGTCATCATTTACACTTCTACTATTTTAGCGTGCATTCAAAAAGAAATCGGAGGTAGGTTGTCTTTTTTCAGACTTTTCATTCTTTCATCTTTTAAATATTCTATCTTTCAAAAACTCCTTTTAACAAAACTCCTTATAAATAATATTCAAAGTTATTTTCAATGATACCGTCTTTATACCAAATTGAATAATAAAATAATTTCATTTGAGCTTATTTTTTTATTTTTTCATTAACTATCACAGAGTTAATTGTCAATACCATTCTGCGTGAACATCTCTTTTATACCCACATGTACACATGTATTTAATATCGTGAGAACACAACTGATATTTCACATTATACACAGATCTAGCCCTTCTGGGGAAGCTGAAGCTTTTACCGTGACTACAGGGTTTAGAAAATCTGCAAAGGGTAATGAAAGTCAGATTGCAGGAACCATAGGAAAAACAGTAGGAAAAACATATGAAATAAATGTGACAGGTATATATATATATATATATATATATATATATATATATATATATATATATATATATATATATATATATATATATATATATATATATTTGTTGTTTTGTTTATTAGAAATTACAAAAATAATTGGAGTAATTATTTTCTTTGATGCTAGCTAAAATGGCACGTTACTTTGAAAATCATTGGAGAGAGATACGAGCATATATGAATTCTTCAGACTTGTGAAATATGTGTGAAAAGACCTTAATATTTAGTTATAGTGAAATGGTTATGAAATCGATATTGCATTTCATTCAATTTTTTTTATCACTGTATATTTTAGTTAAAGAATGTAACATATGATTTGTTAAAAATAAAATAAATGCCTGATAAAAAGAAGTTAGCTTTTGACTCCTCTAAGAATTTCGAATTTAATTCAGGAGCATTTTTTACAAGAAATAATTTTCAAAGCTGAATTGGTCATGAAAAGTAGGCATGAAATGTATATTTTTACATGTTTTCTATTATTGATAGAAATTGAAAGTAAATTGGAAAAAGAGTTCAATAATCCGTGTGGGTCTGATGTGTGCAAACATGGAGTACTCAACAATAAGGGATACGAATGCAAAGCAACAGAGAATGGAACTAAATGTCTCATACAGTCGGTATGCCTCTATGAAGAAGCTTACTGTAAATATGGTGCTCACTGTGAAATCAGAGTGGTAGGAAATTCGTATCAGCCCGGTTGCAGGTGAGTTTTATATTCATACCGTGTCATTTCAAACCTTTTTTAAAATTATATTAAAGAATTAAATGTTTAGAAGGCATAAAGCTTTAGTTCCATTTATGTTCTTTTAAGGGAATGTAAATCAAACAAAAATTGAAATTTAGAATAATAACCACTGTTTATAATTTTATTGGAATCTGGTATATATTTTTGAGTTACAAAGACGTTTTATTTTTACGTGCCAAAAATAATAGCATGAATCAACTCTTATTTACACGTATCCATATTTCAGCCCCATGTACAGTCATTATCCATTTATGGATTTTCTCTTTTGCCTTATAATTTCTATGATTTGAAACCACCTTAACCCTCCATCTTTTCCTTGCTAAAATAAACCACACAAATACTTTAGTATGTTGCACTTCGCCACTTCTGTGACTTTAATTATTGATGCAGATAATTGTAATTGATTAAGCAAAAATTATTTTTTAAAACAATAAAATTATGAATTTGGTATAATTATATGCCTATTAGGAATAGACTCAAATAAAACCAGATGATAAATATGATTTGAAATTCAATTATATTACAGATGCGAGGACACTCTGTTCTTCGCATTTACAGGATTACATTGTGAGAAGAAGTCTCTGAAACTGGACGTATCTCTATACACTGCCGGGGTTATCGGGGCTCTTATTATCATTACGTTTGTAGTGATCATTCTGTTAATGAGGAGATCATGGCTAAAGTAATTATCTTTTTCTTACTTAATCATATAAAATAAAGGAAGGAGTTTTTTCCCCTGATAAAAGGAACAGTGTATTTTGATCAATTTCATGCTTAAATTTTTTTTAAAAGATCTGTGTACTGTATGGTATTAATTTACTTTCAAATAAAATTAAATCCTAATGCTCCACTTAAAAGGAAATCCGTTCAGAAAGAGCCTTTGATGTTGGAATCTCCAGATGGTCATGAGGAGTTAACAAACATTCAGGTACACATGTACTTATCTATATACGTATACTTAATTTTTATAGGGCATGTATCATAAATGAAGTTGCAATGCGATATTACCTTTTTGAAAATAACCATCTACATTAAGCTACTGTTTATACAAAATATCACACACTATTAATGTTTATTTATAAAAAGCATGTGCAAATAAATTAAACTGGCAATAAACTTTTGAATACATGAAATTACTCTTCAATGTTTAGAGCTTTGACAATCAGTCTTATGACAGAGACTATGAGACTAACTGGGATATAGAGAAAAGTGCTCACACTTACGATTATATAGACACTAAGCTAAGCGAAGTCAACTACAGCATGCAGGTATACAACATATTCGAAATATATTTAAGAAAATTTTCTAGTCCTGAAAATAAGTACGTGGGTTTTTAATGATGTTCTTATTCACTGTCTTCTTTTTGTTGTTTTCTAGATCAAACGTCCAAAGCTGGTCAGCACATACTACTAAGTAAGGTGTAAGTAAGTCATTTAGTAGTACTGATGTCTCAACAAGTCTCCACATGCCGGGCAATTTGGTTTTTATGCCCCCGGATCGAAAGATCCCGGGGGTATATTGTTTTTGTCCTGTCTGTCTGTTTGTCTGTTTGTTTGTCTGTTTGTCTGTCTGTTGTCAACTTTAACCTTGCCCATAACTTTTGATTGGTTGGATCTATGACTTTCATATTTCACATGTGTATTCCTTGTGACAAGACCTTTCTTTGGGTACCATCATATTTGACATTTTGACCTTGACCTTGGAGTTTGACCCACTTTTGCAAAATTTTATGAGACTTTAACCTTGGCCATAACTTCTGAACAGTTGGAGCTTGGGGTTTCAAACTTCACATGTGTATTCTTTGTGACAAGGCCTTCTTTTGGATACCAACCACTTTGACCTTTTGACCTTGACCTTGGACTTTGACCTACTTTTGAAAAACTTTAACCTTGGCCATAACTTTTGAACAGTTGGTGCTTAGGGTTTCAAACTTCACATGTGTATTCCTTGTGACAAGACCTTCCTTTGGATACCAACGACTTTGACCTTTTGACCTTGACATAGGAGTTTGACCTACTTTTGAAAAACTTTAACCTTGGCCATAACTTTTGAATGGTTGGAGCTAGGGCTTTCATACTTCACATATGTAATCCTTGTGACAAGACCTTCCTTTGGATACCAACGACTTTGACCTTTTGACCTTGACATAGGAGTTTGACCTACTTTTGAAAAACTTTAACTTTGGCCATAACTTTTGAATGGTTGATGCTAGGGCTTTCATACTTCACATATGTAATCCTTGTGACAAGACCTTCCTTTGGATACCAACCACTTTGACCCTTTGACCTTGAACTAGGAGTTTGACTTACTTTTGAAAAACTTTAACCTTGGCCATAACTTTTGAATGGTTGGTGCTAGGGCTTTCATACTTCACATATGTAATGCTTGTGACGAGATCTTCCTTTGGATACCAACCACTTTGACCTTTACCTTGACGTTTGACTTTTATTTAAAAAACTTTAACCTTCACCATAACTTTTGAACAGTTGTATCTAGGTCTTTCAAATTCCACAGGTGTTTTCCTCGAGACAAGATCTTTCTTTGGGTATCAACATTTTTTATCTTTTGGCCTGGATTTTGACTTGCATTTGAGAAACTTTAACCTTCGACATAAGCTGCCATACGGGGGCATAGTGTTTCACAAACACATCTTGTTTTTTCTTTTAGATGACGGAGTTACTGTACACGTATTCCTTTTATCCAGTTGTTTAAATCAAGACATTTATAGCTGTGGATGGTACATGTACCGTATGTTATGACTACTTTAATAACGAATCAATTGGGAGAAACAATGTATAAATGTTAAGACTTTTCATTACATTTTTTTTTTCATGAATGTTATGTGTAAATTTATATGATTTTGAACTATCAAACTTGAAAGCATAAAAATATTTTAACAGTAATTACAATTCTTTTCCACTTAGCGAGAAGTGTTAGTTATACAAAAGTATAAAAACAAATTGAGAAAAATCATAATTATTTTTTTCCTGAAAAACAAGAAATTGCCAAGTCTATTTTTAACTGGTAATTTTAATGAAGGATTCTTTCGTTTGATGTTCTCTATATATTACTAAATGGCCACTGCAAAGGTCTAAAATTAAAAAGAATTTAGCAGAATAATAACTTGACTTACAGATGATGGCACTGTCAACATGATGATACATACCATGTATTGTAAATAAAGATAATTTAATTTGTGTTAATATTTCTTTACATTGTCCTGACAAGAAAAAAATATAAATGTTAATCTTACATTTTTTGTAATGACAACACGACTATCTACGCTCGTCTTATACAAATTCTACTCCACTGTATTGATATTGCTTGAAGCTGATTCATTATTTGTACTTTTGACTTCTCTCAAACCCCGAAAAATCAGTATTCTCAAACTGAATTCAGCTCCACAAGACCACTAAGTATGTCCACACTCAGTGACATAATTTCTAAGGGATATCCTGACTTGAGGTAATTTATATATTTGTAACTCTGTCATATAAGATAAATAATATGCTGAATTCTAAAAGAATTCTTCTGAACAGTGATGCTCTTTGTGCAAGTAAATTTTTTTTTTCAAATCGATATTGACGGCAAAATTAAGATTACGGTCTGAAAATTAAAGTTAAGCATGCTAGTATTTTGTTAGTAGAACAACGTCATTATTGACAATGTGTGACGAAATCACACTTTTTTAAAAATATAAATGAAAATTAAACCATCCAAAATACACAGCATATTGTGTTAAAAAGAAACTTAGAACTTCGTCGAATACAATCGCACAGCGATCAATTAAAAAAATTAGTGACATACATGTATACGTTACCCTTGTCATTTGATCAAATGATATAATTGGCACGTCATTTTTCCCGAAGTCAGTTGTGAGAATTCTGCTAATCACACAGTAATAAAATTTCATGCATATCTCATAAACTTTTTTTCTGTGACACAAAGGCGTAGTCGTTCAGCACGTATCACCTGTCTAAGGAGGATGTCATGTGTAGTAATCCTATCTTGTTCCTGAACTGTGTGTTTCCCATCAAGTTCATGTCTTCATAAAATTTCGGTACAGTAAGCGAAATAAATGAAAAGAATTTTCTCTATTACGTCATTTTTATTATACATTTAACATCAAATGTATCTGAATTTTAAAATACAATGTCAATAGTTAAGTGAAATAAAAACTGGTTTAATTAGAACAATTTTCTCAAGCAAGACACGCGGAAGACTCGAAGACCACGTGGATGCTGGGGAGACAACAGATCGATAGACGAAGGCATACCTGTGACTTATTGATCTAGCACAGGCGCAGTAAAGTAGAGGTAGGGTCCAGGTAAACACAGAGAGAGAAGGCACTGTTACGCCGGATATACTGATCTCATTTCATGATAGGACATCAATTACCGGACCAGTACCTTAGTACAGCAGTAACAGCAACAGAGAGGATCTGTAACTGAATATAGAAGATTTTATCATTCGATATAAAACTTTACCTCATAATGTTGATGTACATGTAACTGTACTTTCACTGAATTGAATGATGCGGAACTTTAAATTACTGTGATTTAGTTTAGACTGTTTTGGGGATATTTGAAATTGAAGTTCCCGGGTAAGTAAATTAAGTTTGTCAGTTACCTCTACTTGGTAAGAATGTTTTTGAATCTTAATGATTATCTCCTTCAATATATTGCTGAGATTGTTGCAATGAAAATTTTAAGACTTTCTTTTGGTAACTAATTTTAAAGATGTAAAGGGCCCTTATTCGCTGTAAGATGCAATCCAATACTAATGAAAAGGCAAACTGAAAAACAAAACCAGATTGTGTCTATCAAAATAATCAACGCATTTCATTGATTTCTGTGAATGTGAGTTTATTGTATTTTGACACCATCCCTTACTCGAGGATAACTATCGGGTGCACAGCTGTTGATTTTTTTTTCCTGTATCGCCATCAATTCCATGAATGTTACTGATTTTAACTGTAGTGATTACCACTACTAATACTTTAAATTTAAAAAAAAAAGCCTTATTAAAATATCAGTTTAGAAGCTGATTCATTTACTGAATTCATAAAATTTAATTTGAGATGACTGTTTATCAAATTCAAGTTCTCTATTTGCGTATTTGATTACTCAACAACGCTTCAAAAATTGTATAAAAGTTTAAATGTAAACCGAAGTAACCTTCTAGTGATGAAATCATTTAAACGTTGGATACAATACATTGTGTAGCTAGTCATAATGAATAGGAATGAATTTTAAAATTGACATTATAAAATATACTGTGTGATTTTTGTAATTCTTTATGACCTTCATATCTGACTATAAGCACATAATCAATGGTACTGCAAAAAATCTGTTGTATTGTGTAAGAGAGAAATGCGGGTGCATGTACGCTTAGGTCTCATCCGCTTTAAAGAAAACAAATGTATTGATTATATTCCGGGTGCAGATTTCAAAGTCTTTATCACATTTCTCAAGAACTTACATGCATTGTGCATTTTTATATGAATTTTTTTAAATTTTGAGTAATATATGATATCAGTTGAAAACTATAAAATTTTACTTTGTAATTCCTTAAGCTTTCGGTTTGTAGTACATTTACCTATCCTTCCTGAATATTCCATCTCTCAAATTCGGTTAAACTATATTTTGTCTTTTTCTTTGATACTGATGTGGTATATTTTTCAGAATGTACTCCACAGGAGGACCTTCTACTTTAAAGTACTTATGTGAGTATTGAAATGTCTAGGAAAAGCTTAGTTGATAATTAAAGTTAATGTCATAAAAACTTGTGTAAGCATAAAGTTTCATATGGTTAAAGTTATCTAAATATTTTTCAGTAGCAGTATTAATTGTTGTCATAAGAGTTGGATCATCTACAACACCAGCAGAACCTCAAACAACGGAAAGTGTATCACCCTACACCACAACAATTGAAACCGCAACTGTGTCAACAATGTCTTCAACAGTCTCTACATTGGCATCGACTGAGAAAGAAACTATCGCATCGACGAGCGGACCTACAGATAACGCGACACAACCAACAAGCGAGCAAATGACAACAATAACAACAACTCTTAGTAATGGTGATGATACAGAAGGGACACGGGAAACAACAACAGTGATTACAAGCACGGATACAGCACAGACACAAGAAACAACTGAAATAAGTACCACCAGAACAACAGAAAATACAACTTCCTCCACTGATCCAACAACATATTCACCTAATTCAAGTGGAATTTCTACAAGTAATAATGACGTATCTACCGAATTAACAACTAATGACTCTTACAACACTACTAGCTCAACTGAAACAACATCACTATCTAATGACACGACCAGCTCAACTGTACCAACTTTACTACCTAATGACACAACCACAACAGCTCTAGAGTCTAATACCACAGCAATAACAAGTTCACCAAACACAACATCTGAACAACCCAACACAACAACTGAGGAACTACTTACCACAGACATAACAGAACAAAACACGGCCTCAACCGGTAGTGTCGACAGTACAACTGAGATGACATCCACGATTAAATCAACCAATCAGCCAATGGTAACAACAACAAAGAAAAATCATATTGAGGCTATCTATCCTAGCATTGGTGAGTCTCTTTTTCGATTGTCTCGGTATGAATTGTCTGTGCTTCAGGTTTTCAAGCAATAATTGAAAATTGATAACGTACATTATATGTTGTGTCATATTGCATATTCAACTTTTCTACATTGGTTGTGGTTCTATCTCTGTTTTAAGATTTTTTTATGCCACAATGATTGTTCTTTCAATACTAGTACAGGAACTACTTTCTCACACTTTTTTTCCCTAGAAAATGCTGTGCTGGATTTTACATTTAGATTACAGTTTGAGGATTGTTCATACAATAAAACATCAATTGAGAAAGAGGTAAGCCTTCTGACCTTAAATTTAAGTTTAAGAAAATATTTGACGATTAATGAATAGTTTGATGATATTTTCGTTGTTGATAGGTAAACAGTGAAAGCTACAAGTAAAAAAAAATGGGGTTCTAGGTATCACACCGGTAATTGTTTTCACTATATAATTCTATATAGAATAAAAAATCATCAAAAATCAGGTATTCGAATTCATGATAAAATATTTAGCAGGAAGTGTTAAACGTTACCAGTCACATCAGCTGACACCAAAAAATAGGGTACGTACACGGCATTTTCTGATGTTTTCCATCCACAAACAGGAATACCCTCAAAACCACGTGTATTCAATGTGTTTATAAACATCCTGTGTGCACCCTAGGAAGTGGCCTCCTATGCCCCGAAAGAAATAGTTCCTGTCAAACACCTTTAATACTTCACAAAGTACATAAAATATCCTAAGCACAGATACCAAAAATGTAAAAATAGAATAAGGGAAAATATAAAATTTCTCACAATAAAAAAAATATTTCTTTATTATGTATGGAACTAAGTTCATTTTGATTGGTCAATTACCGGTGTGATACCTTGAATTCTAGGCATTTCACGATTTCCGTGTTTCTGTCATTCAGATCAAGATATTTATATCTCCCGCAAACGAAGTTTGGGGGGATATAGGAATCACTTTGTTTGTCTGTCTGTCTGTTCAAACCTGTCCTGTCAGTATCTTTCTTACGGAATAACATTAGAATCTACTACTTCTCACAAAGATTGTTCATGACTTGCGGGTGTGTCTTGACCTTGAACCAAGGTCATTTGGGCAAGTTCAAGGTCAATGACATAAAAAGTTCTTAATTCGTGTCCAGTCCGTATCTTTCTTATGGATAATAATGTTCGGATGTTGGGAGTTCCCATTTTTTACAAAGATTGCCTATGACCTGAGGATGTGTCATGATCTTGACCTATAGTCACTGTAGAAAAAATGTATAAATAATACATTCATACTTTCCAAAAGAGAAATACTTGAAAGATTGTTTGTTTGGTTTGTTTTTTTTTTTCAATGTAATAAAAACAATATTAGTAATACTAATTAGTATTGATGTTTTATTAGGCTGCACCTTAGTTTCATTAATTAAAAAAAATATTATGAGCAATTACCGGTAAATTTTCAATCTAAATGTTAAAACAAATTATGAACACCTCTTAGATCCATCAAATACTAGTATTAGTGACTTGGAACTTCTCTGAAAAACCCTGCGAGGGTATTTGTCCATTTTGACAGTCCTTGTTTCTTACAATATCCCCTGGAAGGTTTCATAAAACCTTATGATTTAACGTAAATTATTAGAGTTTTTTTAAAATATGTAAAAACCATCGCTTTTCGTCGTATCGTTTTCATCGAACACTATTTGTTGATACATGAATATGCTAATACCAATGCCTAATCAGCTAAAAAAAAATAGTAATAAAAATAGATTTAAGACAAATAAAATAGAAATTAAAAATTCGCCTCTTGTGGATTTATTCAAAACTTCCAGATATTCTGTTCAATTATAGTAGGAATTAGGTCACTTACGGTAAAAAATCATGGGAATTTGAGAGCTCTGTCGAAAATATCTCCTACGTATTTGTAAAGGAACATTTCTCATAGAGATATCGATGCTTTTTTAAGGTGAAGATAACAAACAATGATCGATTTAAAAAAAGAAAATCAAAAACAATACAAATCTGTGAGCAGGGCATAAAAAACGGATCCCCTGAAATTCCAGAGGTGGATTCAGGTGTTTAAGGGGAGTAAGAACGATTTACCCCACCTCTGATGATTTTTCGATGAAATCCTGGCTTACGATTGGTTGAAGTCTGTCACGTGAAGGGGGTGTATTAATTATACCTAGTCGCTTGAAAATCAATACATGGATGATGCGGAGTTATCGTTCTTTTGTAACACTTCGAGCAACTCAAATGCACGAGGTTCGCGGGTATCTGTTGATAAGTAAAAAGTTAATCAACGTAAGTAACGAGATATAACCTTTTTCTCACTTTACTGAAAGTCTTCGAAACAGTACTGTCAGTACGTTATGAAACACTCGCAAAACAACATTACGTAAAACAACTTGACGTCATAATAGGCATTGTATGAGTGATGAAACATATAGCGGAGAAAAACAATTTTACAAGCCACAGACAATACATAAATATTTCATCGGTGGGGTAAATTCGTTACATAGTTTTGTAGTGACAGGGTACGGGGTTCTAACCAGGTATCATCCCGTACCCTGTCACTACAAAACTATGTAACTAATAATACACAATGCAACAAAAACCACTAACTTTTAATGTCCCGTGATTTTATTTATCTACAATATTATTAAAAAAATGTCTTTATTATACCAAATTTCTTATTTATATGAAAAATTCTATTTCAGCTTACAGTTGTAGCCAGTACTGTAAATGGATGCGAGTACATCAGGGTGAAAAGCATAAAAAGGTATCAGTTTTGATAAGCTTATCATAAATCCATTAAAAAGATTGTTAATACAGTATACACATTAAACGCACACAAAATTGTCCGCTTGAACACTTTTTCCAGAAGGAAACATGATTGTAACTTAGCTTATTGACGTAATACATTATTGAAATTTGAAAAAAATATTTGCAAGCAATAAAACATGTTGTAAATTAATTCATCTCTAAATATTTCAAAGTGTTACTGATCAATACATTTGCAGCTGTGCTTCTGGGCGGAGGAGAAGGTAAGATTTCTGACTAATCTATTTACGTTATAATCCTCTATTGATTCCCTTGTCTAACGTGTCCAGAAACTATTTATTACTCTTCGGTCACCGGGAAATGATTAGTGTCACCGTGACAATCCGATATGATTTCACAAGAGTTTGTAATTCTTTTGATTATTTTCTAAAACTCATCTTGGCTCTTCTCAACCTCTTTAAATCTATGACGAAAAGGAGAATTGCGTTAACTAAACCATAATAATAGTATCATGTTTAAAAACGGGGTTGTCAGCCCTTATTTCCTATTTCCTTCATTAAGTCCTTATTTCTCGGAACTACACATAGGTTTTACTTCTTCTAAATTTGCTGGGGAAAAGGTCCCCGCAAACCATTACTCAATCCTACAACAAAATTTACAGAAATTTATAGAGAGATTTATTCTTTAGCAAATTTAACAATTATTGTTTTTTATGATTTTCCCCCTCATTAAAACTATCCCTCAGTGTCGATGTTTTGAAGATTTCATAATGTAACATTTACATATTTTCCGATGAAAAATATAAACCATATTCATATTGAAGTGTTTTAAAGAGACAGTAAATGTGGTGCCATGTAAAAGGAGATTTAAAACCCAGAAATATTATTAATAAAGAAAATGTCGACTGAAGCTTATTGGTGTTATATTTTGTAAAAACAAAAAAAAAACATTTTGATTGTACACACAAGTACTCTGAAGTTGATATTACAAAATGCTTAAGTTTCTGAATAGCAATATCTATGTGGTTTCTGGAGACCAGGTCTTCCAACATCTATTGGAATTCCCATGGGTACCATTGCGCCCTATTATTAGCAGATCTATTTTGTATTCTAATGAAGCAGAATTTTATCAAAATCTTATATATAAGAAGAAGAAAACACAAGATAATTTTTCAGGTTATCTAAGAATAAGAAAAAAATAGGTAATGATATAACAGCAGATCATTATTTTTTTTAACATTTTAAGAGTGTTTTTGAGAACAAGAACGAATCCAAAAATATTGATGACAGTGTTGAACAGTTTTGCTGTTGCATTGAACTCGACATTTAGATATATCGTCAACGTATTAACACTTATTAGTTACTTCCATTCATATGTCGACACAATATATCCCGATGAGCTTGAATTAAAAGATACCACAGATTCTGACACATCCGTTTCATATCTGGATATTTAACTAGAAAAAGACGTTAATGGTAGCCTAATAACAAAGACAAAGCTTTCTGATAAATTTGATAACTTTAACTTTCCATTCATTAAATTTCCTTACTTATGTAGCAATATACCCTTATCACCTGCATCCTGGGTATGTATCTATCAGTTGATTCGATACGCAACAGCATGCTTTACGTATGAACAATTTCTAAAACGATGTAAGTTATTGACAAACAAGTTGATTAAACAAGGATATCAACAGTCTAGTTTAAAGTCATCATTTCTCAAGTTCTATATGGTCGATACAATGACCTTGTTAGCAAATACAATCTACTATTAAGTCAAATGCTGACTGCTGCTTTAATGCCCCTGTATCGAAGATTCGGGGGTATATGTTGTTTTTGCCCTGTCCGTCCGTCTGTCTGTTTGTCTGTTTTCCTCAAAAACTTTAACATTTCCCATAACTTTTGATTGGCTGGAGCAATGGCTTTCATATTTCACATGTGTATTCCTTGTGACAAGACCTTTCTTAAAGTACCATCTTGCCTTGACCTTGAGTTTTGCAAAATTTTACCTAACTTTAAATTGGTGCTAGGGCTTTCATACTTAACATATGTAATTCTTGTGATAAGACCTTCTTTTTGATACCAACAACTTTGACTCTTTGGCCTTGACTGAGGAGTTTGACATACTTTAGAAAACTTTAACCTTGGTCATAACTTTTGAACAGTTTGTGCTAGGGTTTCTTATTTAACATGTCTATTCCTTGTGACAAGGCCTTCGTTTGGGAGCAATTGCAATCCGATACCTTGACCTTGATGTTTGACTTACTTTTGAAAAACTTTAACCATTTCCATATCTATTCAATGGTTGGTGCTAGGGCTTTCATTCACATTTCTTTATTTCTCGAGACAAGACCTTACTTTGGGTACCAACATATTTGATTTGCAATTCAGAAAGTTTAACCTTTGCTCTAAGTTACCAATGGAGGCATCAGTGTTTCGCAAACACATTTTGTCATACTAATTGTTAGGCCATTATTTACACAATGAATGATCTACAGTTTCTTCTGTTATTTCCCGATCATGACAAGGAGCGCACGGCGGGTGTGCCTGGTCGGCAGGAGATGCTCACTCCTACATGACACCTGATCCCACCTCTTATGTTTTAGAGGTCCGTGTTTGCTCTGTTCCTGATTTGTATTGTCTAAATGGACTTTTGAACTTGAATACTGTTTGTTATCTCTATATATTTCATTGTAAATATTGAATTTTCAGGGTGGCAGTAACTGCTACCCGGTAAATTCAAAATTTTCAATATGACAGTAAGATATGTTGGTGTTCTTTAGATATCTAGAGATACTGTAGTTCTTTAATACTTAATTGGCAAAAAACATAATTAGGTAGAATTGAGGCGTACTTTTTTTTCCTACATCTTTTTGACAGTGATTGAAATTTCTGAGTCAAATTAGTCAGATTTATTGAATTAGGAATCTGTGAGTTTATGTTTGGATGAATAATCTAGCCTAGAACAAAACAACATGGTGTCATGAATTATTTCAATAAAAGTTCCATTTTACTAAAGAAATGCCAAAAAGAAATTCCATCCAAATATGAATTTTACTTTCTATCACTGTATTTTCACTGTATATTAATTCTTTAGGTCAACAACAGGATTGTATGTGTCAGTAAATAGTGTGTTCGGTATTGACGCCAAGATCGGAGTGGGAAATGGGTCAGATGTATCCAACGAATTGTATACCGCCTTATCGAATGTACCTGGCATTGATGGGGCGTATTTAAATGATTCAAGAAATAATTTAAGTAGTAAGAATATCTCATATATTTAGATAGATATTATTAATACCTTTCATTATGAAGGATTAAATTATATTAGGATCGTGAATACGGTCTGCAGTCCTTTAATCTAACTATCTATATTTGTTTCTCCAATACCATTACATCAATCAGAGAAATGCAAGTTACAATGCTGTTTAGTATTTTTTTTTTTTTTTTTTTTTTTTTTTTTTTTTTTTTTTTTGACCAAGAAACTTGCATTTTATAATAAAACTAATTTATTGCAGATGCTTTAACGTCACAGTCTATATGTGACGCAGACACCTGCAAAAGTGCACTGATTGGTCGACCAGGATATGTGTGCGTCAGTGAGAATTTTAACAACACGCAGAGATGCGCAATTATGTATTACTGTTACCGTCAACCTATTGACTGCGGAGAAAATGGAGAATGTTATGTGGAAACTGAGATTCGATCTGGACAGACGTCCTATATCTCTAAATGCAGGTGCGATGCGATTGATTTTAATTGATTTACTTCCATTGTTTTCAATTGATACGAACCATCTGTTGCCTATGAATTGTTTGTACCTGAGGTAGATTTAGGAACTGTGTAAAAAAAAATATATGACCCTCCCATGCATATATGAATCTTTATTGCACAATTAGTCATATGAATACATTTCTGGTGGTGAATAATGATTTTAAGAAGTGGGGGTTTTACTTAAAAAGAACTACTTGAGGAGCGTTGTTCAACCATTTTTTGAAGAAAAATTTATCATTAGTAAGCACTTATTATCTTAACAAAAATGATTTTTCCTTATCGCATTTTATTATCATTATTTTTTTTTACGAATTTTAATAGTACTGTGGTTTCATCAATATTCGTTGAGCACCAATTTTCGAGGATTTCGTTGTTAAGCAGATCGACGAAATTATATGTTCATCAACTTAGGAAATATGTTACTCATTTGTATAGGCATTGTTTTTGTCCACGAAATTACTTATCCTCGAAAACTTCTGTTTTACAAAATACACGAAAATTGATGCCAACGAAAATTGATGAAACCACAGTATTCATGAAACATTTTCAGATGTAAAAAAGAAGAGTACTATTGGTATGAAGGCACTCAATGTACTGAAAGAGTCATCACGTGGCAATTAGCTGTAATAATCTGTGTTTCCGGTGCTGGAGTACTAATTCTCATCCTCCTTTTCGTCATTATATCACTCTGCTGTAGAAACTCTTCTAATTCTGCTGATGTGTACGTATAAAAATGGAACAATTAACCTATATTTTCCTTATTATTCATCGACATTTTGGTTGGGTTGGGATGAATATTAAAACTCAGTTACCATTTATATTTTAGATACAAATACTCATCTGAGATCAATAATAAATTTCATTTAATTTTTAATAGGAAAGTTTCCGTTTAAAAAGCTTCTATGAGTTAATCGATGACTCAATCGACTTTTTTTTTTAATCTATAAAGAGAATTTGTTTTTCTTAGAAGCTTTGATGAGTCTGAATTGATATACAGTCCATCCGGGATAACCAGCCTAAATCAATATAAAAATGGAAGGACGAGAGAATCTTTCAAGGTAAAATAATGAATTTATTATGCCTTATTACTCAATCGATAAACCTACAGAATGAAAATTGTGTCTCTTCTTTGGAATTTTAAGATCGAAATAAAATTATAATTAAAAGTACATTCGTAGTAAAATTCAAATATTTTATGAAAACATATTCTAATACTTTTCACATGTGTGTAAGTGTGTATTTATATGTGTCTGTTTATTTGGTGTGTTATTAAAATAGCATTATTCCAATATGTTTAGGGAAAAGATAATGGGGCTTATATGGAAGTTCGCGAAACATCAGCAGGCGGAAGTTGGAGACCCGAGGACAGTGCTAACACGTATGCTAATATAGATTCCAAGTTACGAGAATCTAATTATAAAATACAGGTAACACCTGCGTGTCTGAAAACATCTAATGATAGATTCTAAAGCCGAGAATCTTATCATAATCTACAGGTATCATTATCTGAATTGAGTATTTGGAATCACATAGTGTCATTGTCCAAGCATCAAACCTTCAAGTGGTATAATTATATATATATATATATATATATATATATATATATATATATATATATATATATATATATATATATATATAATCATCTTACGCATCCATACAATTGCTATATGACCATCAAAGAATCTATCTTATATACAAAAACGAGTAGTCTGTCGCCGAGAAATTAATCACAAGTGAACGACTAGAAGAAGTTTTATTCAATACTTTAAAAAAAATCCCTATAATATAATACTGACTCTTACATTTGGTGTTCATAATGCTTTTACTTAATCAAATGGCCCTCTCTGCATTTACCGGTCAACGTCCCTTATCTGAAAATAGAGAAATTAATTATACCATTATCTTAATGATGTTTGTACAGCATGATGAAAAGTTCAAAAGTGTTCAATACTTCAAAGCAATGAGTATAGACAGTAATTTGGCTCATTAAACAAAATTATATTGTGTTTAGAATAAATATGGAATATAATTGTTGGCACGCTAATATAAAAATAATGATTATCTCAGTCTATACTTAACCTCAGGTATCTTATGTGAGCAAGACAAAAGACAAAATAAAATAATTTTGAAATTTTGACTTGTACCCAAAACTAGCATATTCAAGTTCTTACTCCATCTGTGACCACTATTATTGACTGAATTGTTTAAAGGAAATGTCACCTTCCATTAAAGATTTGAAATATTGGATTTTCTTTGAACTATTTGAAATTCTTTGATATTTTTACAGATAAAAAGACCACAGGTTTCGCAGTATCGAAAGTCAGACGAAGTGAGTATTAATAAATACAAGATGTCTATAAGCAACAATACTAACCTGCATTCCATGAACTTCAATATTGTCACAGTTTCTTTATAACAAATATATGTATTACATCTTGCTGTTGTGAAGGTTAAGTGTCTTCTACGGAAATTTTATTCTACCTTTATTATACCCCCCTTGCTTGAAAAACGGGAGTATAAAGTGATGGGATGTTCGTCCTTCCTTACGTCCATAACACTTCGGGGTCCCCATCTCTTATCCGTAACATATACTATACCACTGAATAAAATTTAATGAAACTTTCAGAGAATCTTTGTTACATAGTGCCATTGTGCAATGTGCACGTAATAATTTCTGTTCTGATTGGACAGATATTTTGGGGTTTTCATAGCAAACTATGGACTTTACCAGTATACTCATATGGGAGCGGGTGATATCATTTTGTGAGCTCAGTGCTCATAGTACCTCGAGTTTGTGAATTATAATCTAGTCCATCTGGAGTCCAATTTTAACATGTAGACTTAACCTTCATTACATATAAAAATGCGTACAAACAATAATTTTCTCTTTCTGTTGTTCTATGGATGAAAATACCTCAATAAGACTCTGACACAATTATCATGCCACACTCCAGTCCAAGAATCAATCTAAAATTACATTATATGAGGATATGTATTATATATATCCTGCTGATTTTTTTTTCTTCTTGAGTGAAATATGGAGATAACGAACAGTATTCAAGCTCAGAGTCCATTTAGACAATACAAATCGGGAGCAGAGTAAACACAAGCCTCCAAAAACATTAAAGGTAGGATCAGGTGCCATGGAGTGAGTTTCCCCTGCCGACCGGTCACACCCGCCGTGTACTCCTTGTCATTATCGGGGAAAACGGAAAAGTCCGTAGAACAATTCAGGGGGTAATTGATGGCCTAACAATCAGTATGTAAAACGTCAGTCAGCATTTCATAGGATGTATTTGCTGACAAGGTCACTGTATCGAACATAAAACTTGTGAAATGATGACTTCAAACGAGACTGTTTATATCTTTGTTTCATCAACTTGTTTGTCAATAGCTTACCTCGTTTTAGAAGTTGTTCAGACGTAGAGCATGCTCTTGCGTATCGAATCAACTAGGAGACAAAAACTCCATACGCAGGCAATAAGGGTATATTGCTACATAAGTAAGGGAAGATGACAATTGAAAAATTGAAACCATCGTGTTTGTCATAAAGCTTTGTCGTAAGTTACCATTAAAGTCTTTTTCTAGCAAAATATCCAAATATGAAACAGATGCGTCAGACTCTGTTGTATCTTTTATTTCAAGTTCACTGGGATATATCTTGTCCACATATGAGTGGAAGTAACCATTGTTAATTGATAATACGTCGTCGATATATCTAAATGTCGAGTCCAGGGCCACAGCAAGTGTTTTCTTCTTCTCATGTAGAAGTTTTCAATAAATTCTTCTTCATGTGAATACAAAAATAGGTCCGCTTAATAGGGGGTGCAATTGGTATTCATGGGAATTCCAACAGATTTTGTCAACAGACTGTTGAAAGACCTGATCTCCAAAAACTACATAGACATTGTCTATCAGAAACAAGCATCTTTTTAATGTCAAATTCAGGGTACTTTTGTGTATAATGACCTATGACAAGGTAAGTTGTTTTCGAGTTCCATTTTTATTGAAAAAACAGCTGTCTGTGATGTCAAAAAGCCTGGACTTTAATTCATCATGGGAAATGGTTGTATAAAGTGTTGAAAAGTCGTACGTTTTGATGTTACTGATTTTGTTAAAATTTGGTAATTTCAAATTTTCCAAACCTTCATTGGAGTTTTTAAGTATCCACAATTGATTTACACCACTTCTCATACTGTTGTACAGTACTCCTGAAGCAAGTTTGCTTTTACCCTCACCAAGTAAATTCAAAATTTACAACACGATATACCTACATGTTTTGTAGTATTTATGTCCATTTTTAGCCATGAAGCAATGATTAAGACTTACTGGATATGATGCTTCATTGGAATTTCGTCAGATTACTTTACTTTGATTTATTATTTCTCTGCTGCTCTTAAGAATGGTTTAAGATTGTTCCTATATTTCTCCCTATATATTCATATGTAAAACTTTTACCCTTGTTGTGGTCCAACCTTTCTGCACTGGGATTTTCAATTTGGAAATATCTTTATTTACACAAATGATGGGATGCATGACTAATAATGGAGCTCCTGTTATCGAACTGAAAATTTTAATTCTATATTAATTTTATGTTTGAGATTATGAAGAAAACAAATTAATTCGTTGCTCCAGATAATGACATAGATATTAACGTAGACTTAAGTAATGAAACTAGTAGTATCCTTAATCAAGCTATCACATGTGAAGAAATTAAGAACACAGTAAACAAGCTAAAATCCAATAAAACCCCAGCATGGTGGTGACTATCTTGTACACGAGTATATAAAACAACTATTTCAAGCTTTTTGCCGCTACATGTAGAATTATTCAACGTAATTATTTTTAATAATAGAAGTAAGAATTCGAAATATGATTAAAAAAAATTAACAGAAAGCTTGCAACTTAATTTTCTTTCTTTTTTTATGCCCCGGATCGAAAGATCACTGGCGTGTTTTGTTTTTGTCCTGTCTGTCTGTTTGTCTGTCTGCTCGTCTGTTTGTCTGTCTGTCTGTCTGTTGTCAACTTTAACCTAGCCCATAACTATTGCGCTGTCAAGGGTAAGGCTTTAATATTTGACATGAGTGTTCATTATGACAAGACCTTTCCATTGGTACAGAAATTTTTGATCATGTGACCTCAACTGTGACCTTTGACCCACATTTGAAAAACTTTAACATTGGCCATAACTATTGCACTGTAGTCTACGCCCCACACCAGAATTGTGTTACCATCGGGGCATAGTGTTTCACAAACGCATCTTGTTTCTTCTCTTTTTTAGAAAATGTGTTAAGTTAGAGTAGTGAGCTTTTACCGATTCTGCAATAATTCTGCAATTACGAAGTAATATAATTTTCGACTTCTCCAGACCCATGGACCAATTTTAGCAAAGCTCCCTACAATGCATTATGAACTGAAGGATTTCAGTTTGTTCAAATGAAAAGGCACATTCTCTTTCAAGAGACGTTAATTGAAAAAAAAAATACAAGCGAAAATACATGTACGGATGTCATTTAAAAATCGTCTGGGCCAAAGAAGGCAAAACATATTTGAAAGCTTCCTTAAAATGTGTAGATTTAAATTTATTCATGATCCCACGGGTAGGGTAATTGCTTCAAAAATTCATTAGTGTGACCAGTATTCATGAATTTACGTATCCTCGAAACTGGATTTTCCTAAACCAACGAAAAATTAAGCCCACGAATTTTGACGGAGGTACAGTATATAGGAAAAAGTATCTTTATTTTTTTTAAACAAGATTATTCATATTAACACGCAAGAATCCTCAGGTAGTGCAGGTTCAAGTTTGTTTGTTTAAATCATGGCCACAGGGTGGGGCTACAATGTGGGGTCAAAATTTTCTACAGGAATAAGAATAATGGCGAGATGGTGAATGCTTTGGCCCATTGCCTCCTTTTGATAATGATAATGTATATATGCAGAATGTTATTCATGAAATTAGGATTTATACATTTAAAAATTTAAATAACTTGTAAAGACTAGCAATGTTACTCTAATACCTTTACTTGGAAAATTTGGTGGAATTTACTTTTATTTTTCCAGATCACCGAGTTTTAGAGACAATCAATCAAACATGCATCTATCGACATTTTGAGATACGTACGACCTCAACTAGCAGTCTGGAATATTTATTTAACTGCAATTGTTATTCCCCACACTGATTACAAGTGGAACATACCTTTTTTAATTGAAATGACAAAGTGTGACACAAATAAAAAATGTGATAAGCAAAATATCGTCCATTACTAAAATCAAATAATAACATTTGCTGTAACAAATATGTATTATTCATGTAATTTGAAAGGGACAAAGTCGAAAATAATGTATACTTTATTTGTAAAAGGATTATTTAGATTAAGTAATGAACATTGAAATTTTTAATGTAAGGTATGTGCCTTCGTTGATTTTTGTTATTCATTTGTAACATCCTCTCAAATTTGTAAACTAACTAATATTACCTGTCTAACCATTAAACTGGTGGGTTGTCTTGATCATTTGTATTTCCCAAAAAATGCTTACTTTTAAAAAAATTCCTGTATTCCATATATATATATATATATATATATATATATATATATATATATATATATATATATATATATATATATATATATATATATATATATCATCAATATGTTTATGATGAAACTTTATATTTCATGTACAATTTGAAATGTTTTTATACTGTGAAAATTCTGTGGTGGATTTAAAAGGAATTGTTTTATTGCAAAATATAAATTATTTGTAGCAAATTGTATGTTGGCTAATATTGTTATGATCAATAAAATATTTAATTTTTGAAAGTGTGCTTTAATCACCTGGTCACTTTTTCACTTTTTTCCTGCTATAAAATATAGCCAGGTGATTCACGAGAAAGTGTAAATATGTAGGTATGCTGACATTTAAGATTCTTAGAGCAAGGCCAGGTGCAGAATTTGAGTTGTTTTACATTTCGAGTCAACAAATGGACATTCCTGTCATAGCCATGTGCTCTAGACCCATTAAACAAGAAATACAACAAGGGTCATGTGATAAGTTTCAAGGCTATAATCTATCATTTTTTTAAATGAGTGAATTGTGTTATTTTACCGTTTTATCGGGTTTCTAAAATCTTGGCTTGTCATAATATCATTTATAATTTTACATAGGGGTACATGTAATTAGTTATTGTGTTGAAAACTTTGTATTTTCTTTGTTTTGTTAATTCAGAATGGTTGACAAGCTTGAATTTTTTAATCTACCAAGAACAGAATAGCTATAATATGTAATTTGTCACAATTATATGTATACCGGTATTCAATAATCTTAATTCTTAAATGATTTGTTCAAATATGACTTCAAGGCCTAGAGTGGAGCACAAAATGGGGTCAAAGTTAACAAAGGGGGAAACATAAAAAAAATTTCTTTAAATTATAAACTGCATGATTAAGAACAGAAGGGTTAAAATTAGTAATAATTAGATATAAATATTTTCATATGTAGATATCAGTGGCAGATCCAAAAGTTATTGTAAAGGGAACGGGGGAGGTGGGGTTAAGACGTCAGGCCAATGACAGGGTTTTTCCCCTTCCTTCATGGGAGGGGGGCTTCCCCTGAGATGCTTTTTGAACGGATCAAAATGGTGCTTTTTCCAGCATTTAAGATTGAATCAGTTTGAGTTTTAATTTTCTTCCTGAGGAATTTTTTTAAAATTATGTTTTACAGGAATTCGCAAATGAATGCAAAGTTTTTAACTTTCTTAGATTATATCTTACACGGTCATATTTCATGGTAAAATTCAAAACTATTTGAAATATATTCTACAAATGTTACATGTCAGTTATTGGACTCCATAATTATTCATATTATTGGAATTAATTCTAAATATTCAACTCTTATATTATATAGCATATGTTGCTCATGTGAATTGGGTGTTAAAATTCTTTTCAACTCTTTTTGTCTTCTGGGTGAATCAGTAAGACCGTGCGTTCTAGATAGCGTAGCTGGGGTAGATTAAATATGAATTTCAAACTAGAATTTCAATCCAATATTTTCTCGGATGTCCGTGTCGAATTGTACCCGCCCATTTCATTTGTCTTAAAAGTTTTGACTAACTGATGGAAATGACGTAAGCTGCATACTTTCACTCTATTTGATCAATTGGAACTCATGTACGTCACTCAATTTTAAATTTGTTTAATCAACACCATAAGCAGTTGCACGCTTAACAACATTGTAACGTCCAAACCGACGTCGAGAAAGTTTCTCAAAATTACTATATAGCCTTTTCACTTCACACATGATTTTTAGCGTCCTACCCATTCATAAAAATGTATCCATAACACTTGACAATTGTTCGAGTAGCTGAAGTTAGATTGTCAGTCTTTTCAAATTCTTTACTGTGTAACTCTGCTTTCACAAGTTCCGCAAAGTGAAACGCACATCACGTTTCGTGACGTATAATTAACTCTTGTCAAGATTTTCAACTATAATCTATTTCTTCGTCCGATTCAAAGTCTCTACCACTTAAAAACTGTCTTTTTCATGTATATACAAATGTACGGCTCATTTCTGATATAGTTCCTGATTCCTCCAGGATTTCAGAGTTTGTTTTGTCCCTCCACGACATCGTTTTTTGCTTTTTTTTAATGAAGTCTTTCTGTCTTTAGAATTTGATATCATGTTAACGATGGAATTTATTATTATTCCTATTAATTTTAAACAAAAATAAATAAATATACAATTTTTAAGCTCGGTGTCAAGTTTTAACATAATTTAAATTTCTGAAACTTTGGAATTGAATAAGTTGTTATACACTAAAAGAAGTTTCATTTATCTGAATATCTATTTTTTAGAAGTGAATGTTCTATCCCTTGGAGCCTCTTGTTTCTATTTATGTACAGCCACTAGGTGAGTCTAAACAGTAAATATGTAGTGACATTCATTGTATTTCAGGAGATGCTACAAGAAAAAGGGTTAACTTATTTTTATTCAAGCCAAGGTCAAATCCAGAGAACAGAAATCTTTATTTTTATATCCTTTTTTCTCTATTGAACGAATGGACATCCGTATTATACCCATGTGCTATTTCAACAAGAAATAAACATTAAATTAAGGGTCATGTGACACATTTCAAGGCTAAAATCTATTTCAGCTTTTTAAAGTATTAATGAAATATGTTATCCATCCAATCATTAACCTTGGTTAAGATGTCGGCACCTTTAGTCCTTAAATGAATATGTATACTTAAAAATGAAGTGTTTAATTCAATTTTTTAACTTAAATATGCATGTACAGGGAGAAATCTACACATTGCAATTACATTTTATCTAAATTATATTTATAAAAGTGCATGACCATTTATGTCTACCTGAAATGTGCATAATGATTAAATTAATGCATTAAAATAATTAGAATGGTTGTTAGGAAAAAATGGGGATATTTTTATTAACACATTTTTAGAGGACTAGTGTAAATCGACAATAATATTATTGTTAGAAGCCTCTGCTAACCTCTGGGTTCGTCTAATATTTGTAAACAAAAGGTTTCACTTCCTAGAAAATGTAAATCCTAAAACAGCTGTAAAATAAACAATAATTTAGAAGTTTGAAAAGGGGCATCATTAATCGGGTACACACTTCTGATAAATAATATTAATCTATACTTGTAAAACACAGATGGCATGAAGGGGTGATATTTAACAAGACAAATAAATAACGCTATTTCATTTCTTTGATTTAACTTTTTATAGGTAAATAAATATAAATAAATATCTCAGAAAAAGGTCTTATATGCATTTATTCATCACGTGGTTACATATTTCTTGATCGCCAGTGTAACCTTCGCATTCCTCATGTGCCTCATCTGATCGGGCTCGGTAGGGTGTCCTTGACCGTAGATTATAAATACGTTTGGGACTCCTCGGAGTTATACAGTAAAGCAGGAAGTTTTGATGTTCTGACACGTGTGTTTCAAAACAGAAAATTTTTAACATTTCCCCGAAGTTTTTAGGAAAATGGAGACTAAAAGTGTTGTCAAAGTGGGTTCTCGTAAAAGTCAGGTATGTATTACTATTTGTTAAACATTATTTTACACAGAAACACTGTTAAAATGTAAGAATTTCGAAAAACAGATGGTGCATACATCCGTTTCTGTTTTGTTTACATTTTGCGATCTAAATACTGAACTAGGGAAAGGCGAATGAATGTCAAATAAACAATTTTGTGTTCAATAAAAATATTGATAGGCAATTTAAAGATAAATTAAAATAATGATATTAAAGCATTGTAAGATTTAAAATTTTATTTAATAGTGTGTGCTCCCCTTCCCTGATGTATGCATGACATCCTTATCTAATATCTTCTTCTTGAGAGCTCCATTAGTAAATTAATGTATTAAGATCGCACTATAACAGAGAAAATGAAGAATATTTAATTACATACATGTAAAATTTAGTGCATTCCAAAATTTTCCAATTAGTGAACAACAGTCAATACAGATGTTGATCAATGACTAACATGCACTGAACACTGTTGAGGTGTTGTAATAAGACAAAATTTCAAGCTTGTAATGTTTAATTCCTATAAGTTAAAAACTGCTTAAGAAGTCAGCTTTTTGAATGAAGATTAAAAAGTTATTGTTTTCAGTAGTTTGGTAGCTTTTTCAATCACTTCTAACAATAATCTGTTTAGTCCAGGTTCTAGTTTATTAACACCATTTCTTTATTCGTGAGAAGTAATTTTTAAAATCTCTGTTTTATAAATTTATATTATATACATGTACAGTCAAATCTCATTATCTCGAACTCGAAGGGACCAAGAAAATACTTCAAGATAACCAAGGATTCAAGATATCCAGGGTAAAATACTCAAGGAATAAACAGTTGGGATTTCAACATGACTTCGACATATCCATGGTATTCGAGATATCCGTGTTCGAGATAGCGAAGTTCAACTGTATATATTTTTCTTTTCATACCCCTATGTACATGATATAAGAAGATTTATGTTACTTATTCTGAGTTATCCATTAGGTTACTTCCTTCCTCATAGTACCTCATTTCCTGTTCTAAAAACTTATGAATGTACTTAGAATGAGATCATTTACACAGGCATATTTTTGTCTCTCATTCTATCCCTCAAGTGTGTGTAGTTTTGAACATTGATCCTTAGATCACGTACAGAATAGATAGCAGAGTAGGTCAGAAACCAGTTGTGTCATTCACAGATTAATTCATCGTTTACCTGTAGAGGACTAGATTCTACCTAGAATTTGTGACTGTGTTATAAATAGTTTCTAAATAATGCCATCCCCAGTATGTTTTAAAATTGAATATTTTTTCATAACACCCTCAGAATTACATATTCCAGATTTATTTAAGTACAGGGCATGTATACATGCATTGTACGTACAAAAAAATAGATTGACATTACATGGAACCAAAGTACATTAATGTACAGTAGATTTGCAAAATTTCACTCTCAGTTTGTATAATACATAATTCTAAATAAAGTGTTAACAAGATTCTTTTCTCTCTTGTATCATAAATATACGTAAGTGCATTTTTTATTTTGGATTTGTTTTTTTAAATGTATATGCAATGAATAAGAACTGCTTTTTGTTACTGCTTATCAAAGCTCAGTTTTAAAGATTGTTATATGTGAAATATGTATATATAGATTAGTGTTTAAAAAACACAGGAACATGTTTGTACTTCATTTTTTAGATTTTTAGCTTTATTAAACTAGTATAATGTTGATATAGATTATAGGTGGTTAAATTCAGGTATGACAAGCACATACACATAATCAATAAAATATCATTAATGTACATATTAAAATCATTCAGGTGTTTCAAAGGTTTGTAGAATATTTCTACTGATGATTATGAAGCAGACATAAACAACACATTTTTTTTACTTATTTTAAATTTGAGCAGTAAGTAAATTATTAATATTCATATAATTGATATAAAGTCCCAAATTTGCTCACAGTTACATGTTTAACACTATGTCTACCTCTGTATGTCTACTAAATACATTGATTTGATGATTAATATCCAGATCTTGATATATTTTTGCTTTAGCCTTTGTAAACTGAATGTTATTTCTTTCTAAGAAATGTATTATCTTTCAGATGTAGGTATCAATATCAACTCAATTTTCTTTTCTTTTTCTTTCTTTTTGTGTTTCATTATTTCCCCTCCCCCTTCTTTTTTTAATCTAATCTTCTTTAAAAACTTTATGGAGATATAATGTACATGTATTTATAACAGTAAAAATTAAATGACCTTCAAAAATCATGTGACGATTGACAAAATCTCATCTTCAGAAATGTTTTGTAAATATGTGTGGGATCTTCTGATCATGTGACACATGCTCTGTTGTCTTTTAAAACACCTATCATGTGACAGCATATCCATGAAAACTATACCTTCAGTGAAACACTTCACTGACATGGAATGGCCATTTTGGTTGTTTCTCACATGACTTCTGGCTTGTTTTGTTCTTGTGGTCATGTGACAGTAACTTAACATGTTGCCACACTGTTACCACAGGACTTGTGTATTACCTCTCTAAGGTCATTTTTACCTGTGTTTACCTGTCAGTAGATCATTTAAGGACATACAGTCTGAGTCATTAGTCGATAATTTCACGGTCTATTGCTGCTGAAGTGACAGTTTATGTTTCATTCATGTTAAGAAGATAAACATAGCACATAAACAAGATTGTAAGTGAATTGTGTCCTTAGAAAATAGCTGAAAGTAACTGTCAATTGCTGAGTGATAATGTCTCAGTGTCTGTGCTGTATAGATATACAATTTTTCAGTTAAATTAACAGGTTTCAGAGTTGTGGAATGTATTATATGTACTCATGCATGAATATGCATGTAGTGTGATAATTTACATTTTAAGGACTACTCTTTGCAGGTTCAATAACACAATATCTGACATGCAGAAATACCAGTTAACCCTTTAAATAGTACTCCACTGATTGATTATACATAACTCTTCTTTGTTCTTAAGATACATAGAGCTGGGAAAAGGGGGACAACTTAGGTTCTATCACTTCAGTACACAAACAGAAAATAATATTTCCATGCTCAAATTGTTTTGTACATATAATTATAAGTTGACTTTGCCTTTCAATATTTAAATGATTTTTAGCATTTGCAAAAGAATCATTATGTAAAGAACAAATATTAATTTCCAAAACCTATTTCCTTCTATATGATTTCTGCTTTCAGCTTGCCTTGATACAGACAAACAGTATAATCAACAATCTGAAGAAACTCAATCCACACCTCACTTTTGAGATAAGTAAGTGACTGATACATGTACTTACATTGTACATGTTTTAGTTAATTTTGTGAACCATATAATTGAAATCTACATTTTGATATACATGTATATGTGTTAGAGGAAAGGATGAGAGGAGCTAGGTGATTGAATGAGGACTAAATTTTAAAATTATTTTTGAAAAATTGATTTATGAAAGATGGATTAATTTTGTAAATGGTTTATCAATGTCCTCCTATTAGTGTGACACCTGCAGATATTTTCTATTTAAAGTATGTTTGGAAAGATTTACAGAAAATTCTACAGAGAAAAGAGGGGGGATGACAAGCATGCAGTGTTGATGTTTTTTTTTATTCTTCCTAAATGATACCTCTTTCAACATGTTTATTATTTCTACAAGAGGCTGCACATCACTAATGATTTGAATATGTCTACAATTTTTTATCAACCTAAAGATGTTTTGTTTTTCTTTTTTTACAGTTTCTATGCAGACCACAGGGGATAAAGTTTTGGATGCTGCTTTATCAAAGGTAGCTTATATTATAATTGTAAATATTAGAGCGTACATGTTATAACCCATGTCAAAAACTTTTTGTTGTATTTTTTGTAATTTCTGGAAAAAATCGTAAATATCAAAGCATGATGTTTTTTAATATTCATGTAAATTAAGCCTGTAGTTAAGACTCATACTAAAGAGCTATATTAAATATTGACAAATGTGTCTATGTGTCTTGGTTTCAAAGTTTGTCCATTGTTATTTGAATTGCAAGAGAAACATAACATTAACATAATTCTGTTAAAAAAAAAAAATAAAAATATTCAGAGAAAGCTCATTATGAGGTAATTTTATATATATATATATATATATATATATATATATATATATATATATATATATATATATATATATATATATATATATATATATATATATATATAAAGTTATGGATAAATTTTTTTCCTTTTCTTTTTACTTTTTATTTTTGGTGTACAACAAGCAAGTTTACTCTTAAATGCATAGTAGAGATAAACATATCTGTATTAAATACTAAAGTCCTTTGTCTCTTCTATAAATCACTAAACAGTAAGTCAATCTTATAGATTGGAGAGAAGAACCTGTTCACACGAGAACTGGAGGTTGCCTTAGAGAAGAATGAAGTGGATTTTGTGGTTCACTCCCTGAAGGATCTGCCTACATTATTACCAGAGGGCCTTCTTATAGGTTGTGTCTACAAGTAAGTTTATATACAGGATCTGCCTACCTCATTACTATAGAAACTTTTTGTAGGATGTGTCTACAAGTAAGTTATTTAAGGGATCTTCCCACCTACATGTATTGGTCCTTATTCTAGGTTGTATCTACAAGTAAATATATTCAAAGGATTTTCCCACCTCATTATTATAGGAACTCCTATAAGTAAGTATCTTTGAAGGATCTGCCCTCCTCACTTCTATAATAGGTCTTTCTTATAGGGCGTGTCTACAAGATAACTGGAAATCATGACATTACTTTGACAGATGATATACCAATGTTAAAAAAAAATGCTAACATAAAACATAAATTTCAAAAAATACTTATATTTTGAAACTGTTGGATTGATTTTTAGGAGAGACAGTCCTTTTGATGCAGTGGTAATGCACCCATCTAATGCTGGCAAGAAACTGGAAGACTTACCATCTGGAAGGTATGAACAAGTTTACCCCTACTATTTGAATTGCTATAAAATTTGGAATATAATATGTTTTATATCATATGTGATATTCAGTATGAATTTTTGTCTTTCTTTTACAGTGTAATTGGAACAAGTTCTCTACGAAGAGCTGCACAGTTGGCCAGGAAGTTTCCGAACTTTCAATTTGAAAATATTGTATCCTTTATACCAGCCTGAGTACTAAATAATCATATCATTGATGTACAAGTATCTATAGTAAAGACAACATTGATTCTATGTACATGTAGAACAGTTAATATAGAAGTCTGTTATCCGCCAAGCTAATTTGCCCTATATGACAATAATTTTTTTACATAAAAAACTCTCATCTGGTTGATTCCTTATTGCAAAATTAAAAGGACGTTCAATGACAATAGTAATGGTAAGTAAAGCAACCCTCTCTTATTTATAATGACGACAGTCTCTTATTTATAATGACGACAGTCTCTTATTTATAATGACCACAGTCTCTTATTTATAATGACCACAGTCTCTTATTTATAATGACCACAGAGACTTGTACATTTAGTAATACAGTTGAACTTCGGTATCTCGAAAATGGATATCTCGAATACCATGGATATGTCGAAGTCATTTTGAAGTCCCAACTACTTATCCGCTAAGTATTTTACCCTGGATATTTTGAATCCTCATTTAAAATCTCAAAGTATTTTATCGGTCCTTCAAGTTCGAGATATCAAGTTTTGACTGTATATATAAATGTCCATGATTATACTATGGTAAAGGCCAAGAGTATTAAGTTAGTGAAGACATTTTGAAATGAATGTTCCAAACAGTGTGATTTCCTTAATGCTGGAATAGAGAGGAAACTTGAACACACGCTTTAGGAAGTTGGATGAGGATAATAAATATTCTGCCATCATTCTGGCTGAAGCTGGACTTCACAGAATGGGGTGGCAGGATCGAATCTCTCAGGTGAGCAGGAATAAAAGATAATATAAAGGGGGGAATGTAAATCTTCCTCATTGCTTACATCAGTAGGGATGCCTATTGAACAGATTTGCTACCTCCCATCATATGAACTTAAGTTTTATTTTTTTTCCTGCTGTAACAGGTTCTTGATAAAGACACATGTATGTATGCTGTTTCCCAAGGTGCCATGGCAGTAGAGTGTAGAAGTAATGACCCATTCACTCTTGGTCTCCTTTCCCAAATCCATGACCCAGAGACTGTGATTCAGTGTGTGGCTGAAAGAGCATTCCTCAAGAAACTGGTAAATACTTAGTGTAAATTAGCAATTGAAGCAAGTGGTTAACAAACCAAAAGCTTTTCAAATTTTACAAGATGAAAACAATGCATAATTTACATGGAAAACCAATGATGTTACAAAGCTTTTTTATATGATAGGAGGGAGGATGCAGTGTGCCAGTGTCAGCGTACACAGAAGTCAAAGATGGGAAGGTGAATGATGATTTTAAGTAATAAATGAGCTGATATTGATAAAATCTATTACCAAAGCTTGTGATGCTATACAATAAAGTGGACCATAATAAATAAAGCATTTATATTCCTAAAGATTTAACAATAACACTGTTCTCTCTTGTAGTTGTCTCTGACTGGAGGGGTATTCAGTATTGATGGTACTCGAGGCAGGATAGAGTGTGTTTGTAAAGACCTCCCAAAGTCATTTGAAGAAAAAGAAAAGGTATTTACATACAATCATATGGGTTTGAAATCTTTATTCCAACCTTATCATAAAAAGTTGAAAAAAAAAAATAAATCCACAAACTAGGAGAATTAAAAACTTCACATTTCGAAAGCTTTCCTAGTCATTTTTTTTCTATTTATAGCTCAATATCTCTCCGAATGGACCTAGACAATTTGCAGGAATTGTTGGAAATGAGAAAGTTTCTATTGAAACATTAGAAGTTGCCCAAAAAGTAGGTGAGGAGATTGCAGAGCTTATGTTGAAGTCCGAGGCCAAAGACATTCTCGCCAATGCCAAGGCTGAAACAGCTGCTGCCATCATTGCAGAGAAACAGAGAAAAGAAGCAGAGAAAAAGAAAAATGAGGCAGAGAAAATTCAAACTAATGGACATAATGCACATCTAGTAACAGCAAATGGGCATTAAATCTGGTTCTATGACATGTTTTACTGGGCATTGCATACCATTCTGAAGGAACATTCTGATAAGGATGTTATCAACTTGAGTGTCAATTAATGGCTAGTCTTATAGCTTATAAGCTCAAGTCCTTTATAAAGAATTGTTATAAATAGCTTAACTTTTTTTTGGCTTTAACTTATGATTAATTGGTGGGACTTATCTGCAATTTCCTTAATTTTGGGTTCCTGCAAAAGTTCTTGAAAATACATTATTAAGATTTAAATATTGATCCATATTAATTTATTAATGGTTTTTACAAATGACAATTTTTTTTCACAGGGGTGGGGGGGGGGGGGGTTTCTTTCAAATAAGACCATGGTAATTAGGAATGCAGACTGTATTTTTCTTTGTGTAATCAATGATCATAGTGAATGTGATTATAATTTACAAAGTTTTATTTATTAAGATGTGCTGTAGAATACAAGAGAATGATGCAAAAGGGATAAAACTAAGTGCTCTGCATGAATATATTTTCCATTAGGAGTTATCTTTTTTCCCCTAATGTACATGTTTAGAATGCGTTATTAACATCTCTATTCTGAATCTTTACAAAACTCCACTATTTAAAATATTATATGAAATAAAAGATCAATTGAGGATTATGAATTTACAGGAATTCCATGCTTTCTATGGTGTATTGTGAGGCATATCTCATTTTTATTCATTTATTGTATTCATTGTATATGAAATATATACATTAAGTGTATATAAGAAAAAGAAAATTCATATGAGGATCTTAATTGAATATGTATTTTGAAGTGCTGAATAATTTATTTCTCAAGTTCTGATTAATTTATATCTTATGTGATAATTTTACTTGTCACTGCCTGAATCCATGCATTTTTACATGGATCATTTGATTTAGTGTTTTCTGCTAGCATGACAAAAGAGGTGTATAGTAGTTTTGTGATCAGAGAGTGTGAGAGTTTAGAAGAAAGGACTTTTATATTTTCAGACACATTAAGATAATTAGGTTAGCAAAGTAGACTTTAAAGATTGTGTGTTATCCTTGTTCTAGTTACTTAACTAATTAAAACGATTCAGTGTAGTATTGACGAGCAATGTCTGAAGGATTTGAATTTCTCATTTAGCCTTTGAACTTTCGCTTGATGTACTTAAGGAGCTGTGTCTTGGGGTGCTATTTTCACTATGTCTCAGGCTTTGTATTAAGTGATATGGTTAAGGCTCCTTAGTAAGATCAAAGAACATAATCAGTTAATGGACACAAACAGTTTACGGAACTCATTTTACGAGTATCTGTGATGTTCAGTATTTATTTTTAGATTTTTTTTTTAAATATAAAGGTGAGGATACAGCTTTAATATCTCAATAAACCTAAGGAAATGATTTTCTTGCTACGCTTATTTTATAATGTCAGAGTTTGCCATATGTCCCAGTCTGTCTGTTAAAGGGTGGTATTACGTGTACACATTGTTTAAAATGTCATGAAAGGCAATTATTTTGTTTGAATTTTCCTGTTGAGACAAATGCAGAGAATGACAAAGATATGCATGAGAGTTTTTTTGAATGCTCACGAAAACATGATGAGTTTTGCAAATACCTGGAAGTGCCTTTCAGACTTCAGTTAAAACACAACTAAGTGTTAAGGTGTTAATTTCACGGAAGGAAAATATAACTCATTGAGAACCATTCCTGTAAACGGAAATATATACAAAACACAATTAATTCCCCACATATTAATTTTATTGCATTTAATCAGATTTACTAATGATATCTCGTTTAAGAAAACCAATTTAAAATGTAGTATTTGTATGCTTGTCTATGTTTGTGTTCTGACGTTTCTTGTTTTGTATGTTATTGAATAAATATTTTTTTATAAAAAAAAATCTAGTTTGCAGTGATTTTGGATTTTAACAGGAGGAAAAGTATTATTTATTATTTTGGAAAAATATTGCATGGATTTTGTGTAATGATTATTTAGAGTCATGATTATCTAGCCTACATCTCTTAAACACTAATGGAATTCTCTTGCATACATAGTAAAAAGTTTTTCAGATGAAATCTCCAGGGACAAGTGAGGTTTTGCAAGCTCGTGCATTTTACAGCCAACTCGTGTCAATATTCACCAATATAAGTTCAATAACCCCATAATACTACACCAACAGAACAGTTCAATATTATGAATACACTACACCAACAGAACAGTACAATATAATGAATAGACTACACCAACAGAACAGTAAAATATAATGAATGTACTACACCAACAGAACAGTACAATATAATGAATAGACTACACCAACAGAACAGTACAATATAATGAATATGCTACACCAACAGAACAGTACAATATAATGAATAGACTACACCAACAGAACAGTGCAATATAATGAATAGACTACACGAACAGAACAGTACAATATAATGAATGTACTACACCAACAGAACAGTGCAATATAATGAATAGACTACACCAACAGAACAGTACAATATAATAAATAGACTACACCAACAGATCAGTAAAATATAATGAATAGACTACACCAACAGAACAATTTGGTTTAGTAAGAACATCGAAAACATTAAGTTTAACATAATTTTTTTTTTCTTGCACCGTCCAATAACCGACTCTCCTGTTTTTAATAAAAACAGCACAATAAACTACAATTACATGGTGTTTGCAGAAGTTTCGCCTTCTGTTCTTTTGAAACACGAGAAACCCGCCAAAATTATTAGTGTAGTATCTTACTGAACAGCAGTTTTTGTGGCGTATAGTAAATAACTATAGAAGCGGAACCAATATATTGATCGACAGTAATACTAAAACTACCGATATTACACCGATTAAACCGTTCTCTGTCATTTGATTTCTGTAATTTTTTTATCAACTCAAACTGAATTAGTACTAACTGTAACGGAAACCGTTACATATGTTCTCCAAACGGCTCCTCAGACCTAAAATTTTCACCCGAATAAAACTATTGTCAACCGAGGCACAGCCGAGTTTGACAATAGTTTTCGAGGGGTGAAAATTTTCAATGTTACACTCAATTACATGCAATATTTATTATACTGAATGTTTTATACAAATACATGTAACAGTGAACCTTGCGCGCATAAATCCTCGCAGTCACTATTTTTTGGAATATCAACTGTCGTCAAGCAATGTTGACTGTTGCTACGCTGGAGGGCGTGGCTTCATCGTTCAGAGGGTAATAGTTTTTTTAACAAATGTTTCTCGAAGAATCAGATTCAACTAATTTACATGAAAGTATAATATATATGGTGCCTCATTCCCTACAACCTTCATTAGATTAGACATTACTTTTGTACTAGTCGCCCGCGTGGCGCAGTGGTTAGAGCTTTTGCTCTAGAGTCGCGGAGTAGGGAGTTCATCCTTACGTCGCGGGTTCGAATCCCACTGTGGGACGTGGAGACCGGTCCTTCGGATGAGACCGTATAAACCAAGGTTCCATGTCGCAGTATGTGCTGTTACGAAAAAGATCCCTCACTTCACATTGGCCCTGGTTGCCGAGTATATGTCAAAATTATTTGCAGCTCTCCACTGGCAAGTGGTGGCGTCTCCATATGAGTGAAAAATTCTCGAGAGGGACGTTAAACAACAAACAAACAAATAAAACGTTTGTACTATAGACCTACACTTTATTTTGTTAAGTATTTCATTGGAAAACAACCCTGATCTACATGTAGCCTATGAGTATTAGCCAATCAGATTTCAACGCATGTGCATGCATGTGTTTCCTACATTTCTCACATATTTCAACCTACATTTCTCACATATTTTAAATTAAAGTGTCTCGATCACAACATATATACCTTTGTTTTAAATTTCAAAGAATTCAATTTTAAAAAAAGACATTTAAGAATTAGTCAATTAAAATTTAACATGTCCTTGCATTCATATTTGAGTGTACGTACATAATGTAGGGACATTATACTTATCTATATTTCTAAATTTTGTCCTGTTTTGTTAAAAATTAAGAAAGTTGTATCCATTTAAAGTTTCAGCCAATCAAATTGCAGACCACGTGCCTGATGCGTTTTCAAAAATTGTCGTATATATATATCGTATTTTAGAATATAAGTAATGTATACTTATATTTTAAATTTTAAACTATCTCGTCAAAAAAGAGATTTTTGTGCCAGCCAATCAGAGCCAGACACAAGTGCAAAGTATTTCAATTATAATAGTCATTTCACTCATTGCACGCGCATGCATGTAGGCGCAAAATGACTTTTTTTTTCCCCATCTACACAACATGCCTGTTAATATCCTAAAAAGGCTTCACTTCAATCGGATGAGTAGTTTCCCATAACATTTGCGGACAAAAACGTATCGGAGAAGAAATTTGAAAAAAGGAAATTAGAAACACTAAATATTACCAAACTTCGTTCAGGGAACAAACCGGTCTCGGTAGACTAGTGGAAGGGTTCGCATCCTGATCGGGGGGCCCGGGTTCGATTCTCCTCAAACCGTAGAAGTAAGCATATGTAGTGGCTGTTCCCTTGCCAAGCGCCTGGCATTAGAAGTGAAAGTCACGGGTCTTTCTGATGAAACCTTAAAAACCGAGGTTCCCTATCACGGTAGGCGTTCCATTTCAACTTCAACTTTTCTATCGTCAACTTCCCTTATTAATGTAGCAATGTATCACCTGCAAAAGGAATTTATGATTCCATGTTGATCGATACGAAAAACCATGTTCTAAGTACGACAAGCCGAGGCAGGCTATTGACAAAAAAATTGATGATGCAAGGATATCAACAATCTCGTTTAAAGTCATCATTTCGCAAACTCCATGGTCAATACAATGACCTTGTTTGCAAATACAATGTCGTTAGGTCGATGTTTACTAATGTCGTTCATACAAATTGTTAGGCCATTATTTTCACACTTTTTTCCCTTTACCCGATCATTTTAAGGGGCACATGGCGGGTCTAGCTGGTCGACAGAAAATGCTTTTTTCCATAGCACCTCCATCCCACCTCTATTTTAAGAGGTCCGTGTTGGCTCTGTATTTGTATCATGGTTTTGTCTCAATACATTTTATATTGTTATATCGCCGCTTGAAAAGCGGGGGGTGTATAGTGATTGGTATGTCCGTCTGTCTGTCTGTACGTCCGTCTGTCCGTCCGTTTGTTACGCTTTGGAGTACACATCTCTTATCCGCAACTCCTGTTATACCACTGAATAAGATTTAATGATATGTTCACAGAATCTTAATTACGTAGTGCCATTGTGCACCTCCTATTTTACTTTTTGATCAGATTCGGGTTTCAAATAGCACAACATGACTTTGCCATTATAAACATATGGGAGGCGAAGGGTTGTGAGCCCAGTGCTCACAGTTCCTCTAGTTTAAATGAACTTTTTAGCATGATCACTTTTTTGTTATCTTCACTTTTCATGTATAAAAAGGGTTGTTTGCTAGATGCCAATTATTAATTAAGCAGATTTTTAAATTCATCTTATAAAATGAAGCCCATCCTGGGGTCTTACTACCAAGAGGACATGAATTAAACAATCTTGGTAAAGGGCTCTTTGCTTATTATAATCATGCCAACAGTTTGCCTGCTAGAATTTCACGAGTAAAGAAGATTTTCAAAGGCATAATGTATTTTCGATACATGTGTATGGCCAACTTAGTTAGCTCCACCTTAGGACGTGAACCATGAAAAAAGAGGGCATGAATTTCTCAATTTTGCTAAAGGCCTGTTTATAATAATTATCGTGGAAAAGTTTGCTTGCGAAATGAGTAAACAAGAAGTCCCACACTAACCATAGACCCAGAAGCCATAAATTGATAACATAAATAACATGGGGCCATGAATTTCACAAATTTCTTAAGGACTCATTGCTTATCATAATCATGCCAACAGTTTGCCTGCTATATGCCAGGCGTAAAGAAGATTGTTTTCAAGATTGCATTAATCTTAATCTTTGATTGTTTTTGACCATCCCTCAAGTCCCAATAAGAGAGCCAATGAAATTCATTATTTTTGTCCCCCATAACCCATAGCATGGCTCTGATGACCTAAAATGGATTAGTAGTATGAATGATTACCCATTCTGAGACAATAGCAAAAATTAAAAAAAAAGAGAGAGAGAGAATGGTAAATTTCGAGAAATTTCAAAACATTTTCTTTGCTTCTACATTTTATGGACTTGCAGTAATTATAAGGTGTAGTGATTGTCAGTAATTTGGTTTAGTGCTTGAATATCTGAAATCTGACCTGATTAAGTATATATGTGCACATTTCAATTTATAAATTGTGTGTCAAATACCTTCACAGTATCTCACTCGGGACCGCAGGCTTGTCACGCTAGAAATTATTTCGATATCAATCAAACTGATTAATGGAGAGAAA